AAAAAGGGGTATTGCATCAAAAAAAAAAAAAAAAAAAAATCAACTATATTAATTTTGCTAAATCTACTATTTTTTAAAGTCTTGGAATGAGATAGGACCACCATTTTTGGTCATCGGCCACAGGAAAGGTCTAACCATTTGCAGATATTTTAGAGCAAAGGTAGCACCATTTACTCAAACATTCTAAGACCGAGATTATTGGTTCAGCCGCAGCTTGAACCCACAATCTCCCACACAATAGTGCTTTGCAAAAGTAAATGAGCTGGTAAATATAATAACCTTACAAATATAAACTAGTAAGCTTTAATAATTTTAGGTAGATAGAAGGACGTTTTATTAACATTAGAAATGTGTAATATCCATATATTAATGCTTACATTTATTGCATGTATATTTGGCACACTTTATAATATTTAGCATTTAGATGTTCATACCATCTTAAGAATTTACATTAGATACTCTCAAATTGTTACAAAATATGTTCTCTCTCTTCATATATATATATACATATGTACATTCTCTGTGATTCTAGGTGTTATTCTAGTCTTATTATTCATTGATGCTGTGAGGCTTGTAGTTATCCCAGGTCTTAACCCCCAAGTGTCACCTGTCAGTGGGCAGAGGAACCAGGTAATATTGTAAATTGTGGATTGGAATTGTTAGGGGGATACTATTCAAATCTAAATGCTGATATGCATACATTAATGAAGCATCATTTGAAATATGAAAGAGATTGAGAGCAGCCAAGTGAGTTCACTTCATGGCTGAGTGGCTAGGTTAGGGTTAGGGTTGGGATAGACATTGTAATATTATTTGGTGCCAATGGTGCTCGTTTCAGTTCTTGTGTGGAGAACCAAAATCCTTGAAAAATCACACTCATGTGTTCAGAAACGTATGTCCCCATACACCACAATACTACCAGGAACCAAGACACTTAACAACACAACTGAAAACTGAACATTAATCCTAGCTGTTGTTATTCATTTGACTGTGCCAAAACTACAACTACCAGAATCCCTTGCACACATTCTTTTGTTCAGCTATTTAATTAGCATCAATTGTCATTGCGAAGCATTTTGGTAGTTGTAGTCAAACAGTGCCACCATGCATAGGTGCATGGGGAAGGGAATTGCAATTCTCTGCAGTCTCTTCCATGCCTCATCACTCAATTATCCAAGATCACGATGGCTGAAAAATACATATAGTAGATCCCTAAAAAATTCATCAACCATTGAAACCATTACATTTTAAAGTTTCTCTTGACCAGAGAATCAGTCACTCGTAAAAAGTTCTTTGTTTCGCTTAAGTCTGTAGTTTGTAAGCCTTTCAAGCCTTTGCATGGCATCAGCAGGTGCACTCTTTATTCTATGCCCAATGTGCTGATTGGTTGTATTTGGGGAGCTTTGTGAGAACACTGTTACTTGACTAGGAAGTTCCTTCTTGACCTTTAGATTTCCCTGTGAATAAAAAAAAAGGAATTTATGTGAGGCTTTAGATCCTTACCAAACCGCAGAAGGATGAAATAACTTGGGTAGTGTTCAGACAATGTTTTTTGAGTGCTAACCCAATTGCTCTATTTCACTATGACGTCACATCAAAACAATTTATTGTTTAAACGCAAAGGTCGTCGGAGGGGGTCAAATCAACACAAATTCGCCGAAAATTGCTCTAACACCCGTATCTTTGTCTCCCTGATTTAAGTAGGGCGCTTGTGCCCGGCTATAAGAATTAGAGACATTTTAAAATAAAGTTATTATTATTATCAATCCACCAAGAGAAGTTGAATATAGCCAGCAAACGCTCAGAATATTTTTTAGTACATATTAACACATATTATATCTGAAAACCAGGCCATTTTAGATTAGACTGTTTCGCTAGGAGCAAATTTTGTTGAATTTTCTATTGTATTTTGCGATTCTATCCCCCACGTAAACAAGCAGTGACATCATAGTGAAATAGGGCAACTGTTATCAGTCATATGTTCCTCCATGATCCATGTACAGCACTGATGAAATATATAAGGAAAAATATCTAACATGGAGTGATTGACAGACCTCTGTCTCTCTATTCTTGGTTTGCAATCAATCCCAAGAGAGCACAATAACAAAAGGGATGTCCGCCATGTTGGAAGATATAACAAAAGAATTCATTTAAAAATCTTTTGTCAAATTCTTCCCTCATGGTGACTATGACGTCTATTGCAAACGTAGAATAGTTCATCTAACAGAACTGATGAATCATGTATATGGACAAATTAACATATAACATGGAGTGATTGCCCAGTTTTGTGAATTCAATTTCATTCGATTGCCAAATCCAATTGAATCCAATCATTCGATTGGATTTGTTTGTTTACATTTGATTGATTACGCTAGGTGATTGACAGACCTCTGTCCCTACATATTCCGTGTACAGAACTGATGACAAATGTATGTACAAAATCTTAAGCAATGGCTAAAGGATTTTATTAAGATTTAAAGCATACCTTCTGGTCATAATCAGCTAAAAAGCCCCAGTTTTCTTCCCTGTGATAAAAAATAATAAAATAGATATCTATCGTAAAAACCCATGGGTAAATGAATAAATAATGATTCAAATCCATAATTACAGTATACAAGTCTTAAAATGCTAAAATTACTCAAAGTTCACAGGCTCTAAGGCGCCTTGGAACCAACAATGAACTAGCACAATAAAGCAATGTAAAAAAAGGTAAGATGTTAATGAAAATTTCTGGATACAGAAACAAACAGCTTCCTTTAATTTTCGAAAGAAAAAGCAAACAAAATCAGCAAATAAAAGGCTCATCAAACGCTTCGAAGAAACACGTCGAATGAGGCCTACCATTTCAGAACCATTGTCTTTTCATTCCTACATTGATTCTTCCATATTTCATCTTCTCTAACCACATCACATTTAGCGTATTCTCTTTGGGAATATGTCCTCGGCGGAGCTGATTTTACTCTTTCTTTCACTGTCTTTGGTGTACATTTTTCATGGTAAAAACTAGTGGGGGAGCTTCGCCACTGAGATTCTGGAAAACGATAGCCAGCTGAAGTCGATCGCATCCCTGCATTCGTCGAAGACATCGTATTTACCAATAACTGGATGTAATGTAGTATTTAAGTCCTTAGATCGCAAAAAAACGAAGATTTTAAAATCAAACACGACCATCAGTTTCTCTCAGTGTACAAATGACTTTGTGATGAGCGCTATGTTAAGTCACATGACTTCTGAAGATTTACTCCGTTGCACAGCAACAAGAAAACAGGGCCAAGTCATTGAATATGCATGATTCAAGGCAGAGGCGTTGAGAGAGGTTTTAGCCTGCTGTGCAGACGTTTTTAGTGTCGTTTCAGCTGTTTAAAAAGTTTTGCCGTGTGACAAGCTAGGTTGGTGACCTTCTTGACGAGTAAATTTCTCGAAAGACCTAGTACCAAACTTGTTTCTCGAGCTTGACGCTTCACGTTGCGCCATGTCATGCCATTTAATGAAACTTTTTCCGGCTGAACTGAAAATGTTTAACACGTAACAGCGTTATAGCCGTTTTCTTTCACTTTCCAAATAAGTTCAGTGATGCATAAGGCCGCTTGAACCAGGGAATTTTACGAGAATTGATATTATCTTTTTCTTTCCCCCTTTTGCCCCTAGTTTCTTACACCCACCGTACCCTTACAAGGTAACTGTTACCAACGATATCGAGAAGAGCAAAAGGGGGTGACTAACCCGCCGACATAAATTTATTGGAAGATAATAAAATTTCATAGATATCAAATACAATGTTAAAAACAGCCCATACACATATTTACGAAGGCACGCGAGGTCCTCGAAGTTGGAGGGTATTTTGTCTCTCTCAGAGGGTCATTCTGATTGACAATTTTGTTTTTCTCGTATTCTCGAAAATAAAGCTATATTTCGAAAAACGAAGAATAGGCCCGATTTGTTATGGCTATAGGTCTACCTTATAGTAGTATATGAGCGAATTTTGTTTTTAAGGGGGCTCGGGGTAACCGGTTCATGTGAATCATAGTTCGATGACTATATAGGAATATCTCTCAGTTGCCACGAAGGTTTTGTGCCCAAAGTAGATTACCAAAATTAAAGTTCTTGTTTGTTAATATGGTTCGTTTGCTCATAGTTAGTAACTATGATTTGTTATGAATTGGTTGAAGTAATGACATCACACCGAAGAGCTAAGGATTTTATATATGACAGTAGTTGTAGTGTGTGTGGAGGGAACCTCACGAAAGTGCCCCGTACGGGGAGTGGTGGTTGTAAAATATAAAATATAAATATTTTATTGTACTCTTTTAAGATATGAACATTCCAAAACTGAACTGCAAAATTTAAAATTCTGACGACCTCAGACCACGGTGCTGCGGGCTGCGGGCTGCGGGCTGCGGGCTGCGGGCTGCGGGCTGCGGGCTGCGGGCTGCGATAGGGAACACTTTTCCGCACAAAACTAGTTTTGGGTTATTTTTATAGGTCAACTGATGATTTTATACGCAATAATCACTTAATGTTTGAACTATAGGAGACAGCCTTGTATTAAAAAACACGCCAAAAACACATCGTTTTATCAAAGTTAAGAAAGTCTTTGATGTAGATGAGTCAAGGGTCACTTGATTGCGTTTGGTTTCCATAGTGAGTGAACACGTGTGTCATAAACCAAAGGATTGTTGTTGTCCTTTTGTTGTCCTTAATTATCAATTATGTATCTAAACAAAAACCCTTGACAAAAGACTTTGTGACCATTGATACTCAATAATGATTAACTAGCCACAAGACAGACGGTTGTAGAATATACCTCCTTAATTCTTGATTGACATATGTCAATCATATTTAAGGAGTTTACTTCATATATATATATCACACGCGCTAAGATTAGTTAACAAAATCTTCATCGACTCATATGAGGGAGATAATTCTACATTGCATATATACAAATTGAACGCATAAGAAAATACCTACATAAGTATTTACTGCGACTCAGTAACGCCTTTCACAAGTAATGGCGTGAATTACGTCACTTTTTATGATGCTTTGAAAACGGCATCATTTTGTAATTTCAAGCAAATAAAATAAAAGAATCACTTTGTTGTTTACAAGCACTGTATGTAATCAACATTGTTAGTTACAATCAAGGTTCACTGCGACTCAGTAACGCCCTTCACAAGTAATTGCGTGTAGTAATTAAGTCATTTGTCATGACGCTTTGAAAACGGCATCATTTTGTAAGTTCAGGCAAATAAAATGAAAGAATCACTCTATTGTTTACAAGCACTGTATGTAATTAATATTGTTAGTTACAATCAAGGAATAATGTAAAAAGCTCACATAAGTAAGACTTTTTCGCTAGTGATTTGGAAAATCTCGACTTTCAACTTTTTAAACAATACTCTGAATAATCTTCAGGTATAATATGATTCTTTTAATAATAGACATGTTTCGGCAGTGCTGCTGCCATCATCAGTGGCGTAATGATCGCAAAGCTAACTCAGTTATAATACTCTTAGTAATAATACTCTGAATACATTTTCGGCTGGTGGGATCTACCGTCAGGAACGGAAATACCAATGTCAAGACATTTTACTTATTTTTAGGGATGGACCATGAGATAATGAGGAGTGAAGGCCGGAAGCAGGAGTTCAGTTACCAGTCAGTACACGGTAAATTATAGGCTGCACGGTATGTCGTTTTTCCGTATGTGAAGTGCTTGCTCGATATTTTTTTTGGGAGTTACGTAACCTCCCCCCCCCCCTCCCTCCCCAAATTATCTAATGGTCCGTCGGCGTCGAATTATAATTTATCATAAGCAAATCTCAAACAAAAACCTAAACAGCCTATTGTAAAATAAAAGATTGCATGAACAAAGCATTTAGTTTTCTTTGTGTAATCATATAAAACGTGTGTTTTTATAACAACAAAAAAATTCCTATTAATTTGAATTAAATTTAGTGAGTTTAAAGCTATGTCCTGGACGTTATTTCATTTTATTATTATACTATATTGTAAATTTTTGGATTTTCGGGTGGTTTGTCCAGATTTCAAAAAGAAGAAATCGATAACTATCCGTGCCTTCCTCGGAAACCGGAAATTAGTCGAGCTCTTTCGAGTGCTTTCGATTTGTGGTCGATTGCACAATCAAAGGGCTTCATTATGCAATTGTATACTCCCCCCTCTAAGAGCTAGTATAAATTGTGTCGTGGGCATGTGACCGTCCTTTTTCCTTTCACTAGCAAGACCGTGTGGTAAGTGAGATATAATGCTGTTTTATTCTCGCTCAATCCTGCTCGAATTTTATCCATCTGTGTCAAATGTCGCATAATTTACAATATGTGTTAACCTCTGTATCAATTGTAGCTGTTATTTTAAGCAAATAACAAAGGACGACTAACAAATTCGGGTTTGAATTCTCGACTTTCCCGAAACGTTTGTAGTTCATTCAAACGTGTCTCTTCATTTGGTTTTCTCAAATTTTCATACCATTTTGATCGTAAATACGCCCCGATAAGTTAAATAAGATTAATTTTCGTGCTTCAAATGATGATATTCTCTTTTTATATTTCAAAATGTTAACCTAGTGTCGAGAATGTCTTGAAACTTAAGGTGGTGACGTGGTCGCCGGCGTTCTTATCACGCTGATTTAGATCTAAAAGTTTCTACCCCAAGAAATTTACTACCATACATCCAAAAACTTTTTCTTCTTTATCCCAGTTTGACAATTGCAAACGTATCCTTTTTTTAACAGCGTCGGTGAAACTAAGTCAGGATATCCAACATCAAACATGCCTCCCAAGGAAGATAAAAAAGATAAGAAAGAAAAGGAACACGTTAACATAGTCGTCATTGGCCATGTCGACTCTGGTAAATCTACCACCACTGGTCACTTGATCTTCAAATGTGGAGGTATTGATAAGCGTGCCATTGAAAAGTTCGAAAAGGAGGCAACAGAGGTAAGCTCACGTTGATCTACATTTCCATTACTACCAAAACCAGTCTATCAAAATCTGATAAATTTTGCAAAGCATGTAAACACCGTTTAAAACCGTAACCAAAAATGTAACGAATCAGATTGAATGTCTCCAAGCCTTTGATTGATCTTGGTTTGTCAAAAGAACTGAAAACTATCACATTGCCAAAAATGATAGGGGGGATTCTAATGGTAGTAGCATTTAGTCACTCCACTGAAATTTCAATTGAAATTAGAAAAAGATGAGAATGCCAGATATATCCCAGAGAAAAATACCCTCAAAACACAGAAGAGAAACAACAAATAACTCTACTTACCATTGAAACCAAGCCAGGCAGGACTCTATGCCACCCATGATTTCCATGGGAAAGCAAGTAGAGTCCCATTTTTTCTTATTTTGGACTGGATCTAATGTGATTGGATCCAATGCAAGTAATAGAAATTTATGGGGCTTTTGGAGCTTAAATTCCCAATGTCTCCATTTTTACAGCTTGTAGCAGCCTTAAAGTTGGCAGAAATGTAGGCAATGTGGTGTTCTCTTCAAATGTGAACATTTCAAAACTGAATTACAAAATGTGATGTCACATTTCAGCAATCTATTGGGTTTGATAAAAGCACATGTACATGGTTTTAAGTCAAATAAAGTAACTAAGCATTTAGAGAACTAATAATACTTGTAACACTGGTTAAAGTTTCTGCCTATTTATATTGTTTCCTATTTTGCTATCAGTTAACTTTTGCCTCAAACATTTGCTAAGGAAATTTTTCTAATCCTGTTCTCAACAGATGGGCAAAGGGTCTTTCAAGTATGCTTGGGTATTGGACAAGCTCAAGGCTGAGCGTGAACGTGGTATCACTATCGACATTGCCCTTTGGAAGTTTGAAACCACCAAGTACTATGTTACGGTCATTGATGCCCCTGGCCATCGTGATTTCATCAAAAACATGATCACTGGTACATCCCAGGTAAGAAAATTTGCAAGGCATGTTCAGTGGCTAAATTTTTGTTGTACATAAGGAAGGAAGACTTTAAACAGTTGTGGACTTAAATCTAGGTCAGATCCAGAATTTTTTAAAGAGGAATTACAGGAAAGGTGGTACCTAATGCAAATCTAATGCGTTTACCTAACAAGTTTACCTAATTGATAAGGCAGCAATAGATCGGATTAGGATTTGGAAATTGATTTGTGGAGGGAGAAAAAGCCAGAGAACCTGGAGGAAAGACCCTCAAAGCACAGGAGAGAACCAACAAACAGTTTTAAAATCACATGCAAATATGTACAAATCCCATACTATAATACAACTCATATTTTTGCCTCTTGGTTGTAACCTGACTTGCACATTAATCTAAACCATGGAAATTGCTTTTTATTGCTTGTAGGCTGACTGTGCTGTTCTTATTGTGGCATCTGGCACTGGTGAGTTTGAAGCTGGTATTTCGAAGAATGGTCAAACTCGTGAACATGCTCTCTTGGCTTTCACCCTTGGAGTCAAGCAAATGATTGTTGCCTGCAACAAGATGGACAATACTGAGCCACCTTACAGTGAAGATCGATTCAAGGAAATTGAAAAGGAAGTTTCCAACTACTTGAAGAAGATTGGTTATAATCCCAAAAAGATCCACTTTGTACCCATATCTGGATGGCATGGAGACAACATGTTGGAGAAATCTGATAATGTTAGTAGAATTTTAATATAGCAAACCTAAATTTCTACTGAGTGGGGAAACAATTCAGTGATAGTATTTTCAAAGCATAAATAAATTAGTAATCATTATCAATAATGCTCTTTTAAGTTTGCCTTTGTTTGGGTTTTGCCTCTGTGGCATGCAAATGTTTTCTCTTCTTTTATTAAGGCCTATTGTATAGTAAAAATTTATGTACTACAGAGCAATACAAGTTGATTAGATTACCACAGCTTTTGGTAAAATGGGTGAATATTTACCGTGCCATTACTTTAGCTGGGGCCACTAACACAGCAAGAACCAATGAAATTGTAGAATGAAAACAATACATTGCAACTCAAGGTAGTGGAGCCAATCAAAAACCAGCAGAAAACAATAGCCTTTCAACATATTCTTTTTCTCCCCATGAGAAAATGACCATGGTTATTTAGTTTACAGGTAATATCAGGGTCAAGCAATCATTCGATCATGCATTCTTTTTTTCTGATTGGCTCAACTTTGGCTTGGTATTGATTTCAAATTTATCCTACAATTTCATTGGTTCTTGCTGTCTAGGTGACCCTGATTATGGTAGTAACACTGTAACATATGACTAAGGCTGAGCAAAAGAGACCTAAACTGCATTAGTTTATTGTTGTATATAAGGTAGAACAAAAAAGACAGGCCTTCTATAAGATAGTTTGCTTTTGATAATAAAGTAAAGGGCTACAAAGGAAAAAATATTGAAAGCATCTGAATCAGTTTTATTAATCGCTCCACAATTAAAAGTCATTTATTCTCTTTTTAACTAGATGAAATGGTGGAGTGGATTTGAATTATTTAACAAGTCTGCAGGAGCAAAAACTGGCTACACTCTCTTTGATGCTCTGGATGATGTTAATATTCCAGAACGTCCTACAAAAAAGGCACTGCGTCTGCCTCTGCAGGATGTATACAAGATTGGAGGTAATTAAAATTATGCTGCACACACAAGTAGGCAGAGGTCAATAAGAAGTGGGTAGAAGTCAATAAGTCCTGGTAGTAAAACTTGTCACCAACCATAGGAATGAGTGATTGTGATTGGATTATGATACCGATTTTGCACTCTCCTGATTGGCAAAAGTTTTTTTTTAATTTTAAACTTTGTTGAAGTTATCCCTGTTAGTGTGTCTGTACAGTAACTACATATATATTTAGGGTTTTCATTGATTTTTGAAATAATAGGAGTGTCATGGTATTTCAGCTGTTCTCTGATAATTGATGAAAAATCTTGTTTATGTATATTGTAATGTACAATAAGTAAATATACTAAAGGTTTGCATTTTCCAATTTAGGTATTGGAACAGTTCCAGTTGGACGTGTGGAAACTGGCATTTTGAAGCCTGGCATGCTGGTAACCTTTGCTCCAGTAAATTTGACCACTGAAGTAAAATCTGTTGAAATGCATCACCAAGCCTTAACTGAAGCACTTCCTGGTGACAATGTTGGTTTCAATGTCAAGAACTTGTCTGTTAAGGATATTAAGCGAGGTTTTGTTGCTGGAGATTCCAAGAACGATCCACCAAAAAACATTGGCTTCTTCGATGCTCAGGTAAATTTGACATATGCTTATTTCAATTAACTTGGACAACAAGAAAGAGTGAAAGCAATTAAGAATAATGACTTGAATACTTGTTTCATGTTCAATTTACATGTGCATAAAATGTGAGGCAAGGATCAATGAGTACTCCAGCCTCAAATATCCATATAATTTTTCTATGTAATGCCTTAGTAAGTTTTAGATTTCTTGGGACTTTCTTTATTGAAATGATTTTATAAAATAATTGGGATACTGCGTGCGTTATGATTGGTCGAAAACCATGTTTGATGAGAGTATCAAAACATGCTACCGTCATTTTTAATCTATCACGAGCACTCATTGGTCAGTTTGAATAAAACTGCACGTAGGGAGAATTTACTTAGACTTTGCTTTTTTTCGTTCTTTTCGCACGCTTGTTATTTTATAAAACAAATGAAAAACAGTTTTCTGTGTTTGATACTCTGATCAAAACACTTGGGATGTTGGAAGAACACTTGAGAAGCTGGAAACCATTCTGCTACGCGGAGTGGTTTCCTACGCTCCTCTCATGTTCTCTAAACATCCCGCCTGTTTTTATCAGAGTATCAAACACAAAAACTGTTTTTGATTTGTTAAATCAATATTCTATGTTTAGCTTTGATTGGCTCAACTTAAAAAAACATTTTTTCCATCTAGGTCATTGTTCTTAATCATCCTGGTGAGATCCACAATGGGTATTCTCCAGTTCTGGATTGCCACACGGCCCACATTGCTTGCAAGTTTCATGAGATCAAAAATAAGGGTGACAAGAGATCAGGTAAAGTCCTGGAAGAATTTCCAAAGTCAATCAAAAGTGGTGATGCTGCCCTGGTTACCCTTCAACCCTCTAAGGATATGTGTGTTGAAAAGTATGCTAGTTATGCACCTCTTGGTCGTTTTGCTGTCCGTGACATGAAGCAAACAGTTGCTGTGGGTATCATCAAAGATGTGACTGAAAAGGAAGTGAAAGGTAGACAGACAAAGGCAGCACAGAAGCAGCTGAAGTCTAAAAAGTAACTTAGTGCAACAGCATTTTCAGTAAAGAACATGAAAAGGACTGTTCTGTTCTTTCAACATTAGTGGAAACACGAACCATCTGCAATTACTAAAATCCATGGTGGCTTTAATTGATAAATAAATGTTGCAGTTAATACCAATAAAATGCTTAAAGTCTGATATTTGTTGTTGTGGAAGGGGTTGTGACTTAAGGTTGACCGCCTACTTTTGAACGTTCGATTTAAGCCCAAGATGTGCACGTGCTCAAAAATTGCTGGAAAATCTACAAGATTTTATTGAAGAACCATATGTATTTTGAGCTTCAACCGGGCAAAACCCTCAAATTTTGCATGGGACTATTTTTTTATAGCTTATTCGAAAAAAACTCATTAAAAAATGTAGGCCATATCAACATTATTAAAAAAGTTTATTTCTAACATGAAAAAATAGATTTTTGTTTGACTTGATGATATTTTTTAAGGGCACTGAAACCACAAAATATGACAAATCAATGTATCTGTCTTTTTGTCGAAAATATCCATGTATTTATATTGAGAATGATTCACTAGCCTTCATTTATGCAATCATATAGTCTGCAAATAACTATTATCTTATGAATCTTTTTTTCCTATCACTGGTGGTGCAAGTGTTTCTCCAAAAGCTCGCGCGTAGGCTGCAATTAAATGCTGATTATCTCAAAAACAAGCACCATAAACTGAAAGCGTTATTTATTCTTGATAGTATCAGTGTTTGAAATAACAGATCTACTTCCCTTTGGGTATTGATGGAAAAATAAATAACAAAAGACCAGGTGGCCATGTTGGAGGATATATCAAAAGAATTCATTGACAATTCTTTTGTTAAGTTCCTTCAACATGGCAGCCATGAAAACCATCGATATCCTGACGTGAAAGTGCCGGCAGAGCAGTTCTAGTAGTATGAGGTGTTTTTTTGCATGACCACTAGATACATTGGTCTGGTTTACTGTAATTTATGGTTTCTTTATTTCTTGTCTTCATTGATTGCAGAACTTCAAGATTTTGGAGTTTCCCAAAGTTTGTCATAGCAGAAGTAATACTTAAATTTTGTAATCTGAATTTTGTGTTTTCTTTGATTTTCAAGCCTGAAATTATACTAAAACAATTATTCAACCTCTGGTTCAGTGATTACCGTAAATATACCTTGACACTCACCAATTATTCAACCTCTGGTTCAGTGATTACCGTGAATATACCTTGACACTCAAAGACTTGAAGCTTGGTAAATACAAAGACTTAATGCTTGGTAAATACATGCCAATTATTGTCAAATAAATGTAGCAAATAATACATTCAATACAACTTTCTTCAATGGATCAAATAAAAGGACTTGTGGATTAGCAAAAAAAGGAAAATTTCTGCTGATACTGTCAAATGTAGTAGCTATCATTGAAGTTTGGGCTTCCTTTGTGGATGTTATTGCTTAGGACTGGTAACGAATCCGGATAACCGCCATTTTCAAATTTACCTAACTGAACTACAAAACCTTACTAGAGAAAATGTCTTCATCAGAGCATCCTTTAAAACTAACCAATGAAATAATCACTATTTTGGCAAGTAACGATAACAGAGAATCTTTGGAGAAGAGTGATAAGTTTCTGATTGAAAAAGCTCACTTGTGCGAAGAGCAAGGAATAAGCGTACAAGAAGCCATACGCCAGTTGACCAAGGCGGAAAATCAAGCTGCTCGAGATCTAGACGACAACCAGCCTGTCAACACAGCCAGGATTGCTGAACTAAAGCATGAAAATACCGTAACCAGTGAAAGAATTGAGAAGATTGAGCAGGATATTACTTTGTTGGAGAAGGCATGTCAAGACAGTAATCTCAAAGGTGAGTTCAAAACAGTGAGTTTAGTTCTTGAAGCCCTCTTGTGTTCTAGAGTTAAAAACCGATTTTACAAAACGTTTAACGTAGATAATATTGGCCCTCATGAAGGATTAAATTTATAGAATATGAATTCCTATCTTTCAAGAGCTATAGCTTTATTTGTTTGATTTAATTATGTGATTTAGTTCAATGTGGCCAGTCACCTTATCTGGACCTTAACTAAGCAGCCAAATATATTTTTGGTATCTAGTCACTATGCCTCCTAGCCATTTAGCTCCATACATATAGATATACTGTGTTAATATAAAGCCCTGTCCTTCCCCTCCCCCCAGGACAGGGTGGTGAATGAACATGGTAGCAGCAATGGTTTAACACCTGTAGAAGTGTGATTGCACATGGAGAAAGGAAATTTAACAAGTACAAGATTACAAAATTGGGACACATTAAAATTAAAGGAGGGCTTAAAAGTAAAGGAGAGTCATTTTTACCAGTGGTGTTTAGTGTGAAATGAGGTATAATCTAGCCTGCAAATACAGCCAACTCTCTTTGGCTGCTGTTTTCAGGCGGCTGCAATAAGTCAGATGTATTCACAGGCTAGGTATGAACAAGCTAAAACATGACTGGACTTGTTTTTGGTGATATATCACAGTGGTGAGAAAGAAGATAAGTTTTTAAAGTACATGCATATATGTATGCATCAAGGAAGTAAACATCTTTAGAAATATATTAATTCTGTGTTACTATACTAAAAGGTAGAAAAAAAACACAAGAAATGATGATGCCAATCTAGTTGTTGCACATTGCATCAGGGTGGAATTACCATTCTCGTGCAGTCTAGCTTTCTGATTGGCTCGACTACCCAAAATTGGAATGCATTGTCTTCATTCTACATTTTGATTGGTTCTCTTGTCTAACCAGTCTAAGTTTCCCCCAGTTACAGTAGCTGTACTGTAATCCCACTCCAGAGCTGTCCTGGGAAAGTAGAAGGGATTATATTGATTCATCATTGCATAATCCTATAGTTATTCTCAAAAGTTATTTCTTTCTGAATCTTTGAGCTTTGACGGATGCATCATTAGCTGATTAAAAACCATGAATAATATGACAGTTGTGTGATCAAATCACATTGAGTTTATCTAAGGGAATGAAACACTGTACAGTAGTTGCTCAGAAAGCTCTTGCTAGTCATTCCTATTGTAAACGCTAAGTTTCTCAAATTAAAGTTATTTTTTTGTTGCTTAATCTAAGGTGAGAAGTTAAAAGAGAAAAAAGCTGAAGCTGTTAACAAGAAAATAGAAGTGCTTCCGAAAACTAAATACTATTTCAGTCTGTTCACAAATATATCACACATCCGTTGGGATTACAACTGCAAGCAAGATGAAATCAAAGGGTTTATTGCCAGCTTGAATAATGTGAAACCATTTTGTCTTGATGAAAGACAGAACTCCAAGTATTTTATGGTGAATTACTTGTGGGACCTGATTGATGTCTAAGAAAAAAGTTGACTCGCTGTATATATGAAAATGGTCTAAAATTCTGAGATGTAATGATTATGAATAACAGGACTTAACAAATATCATAATACCCTCAATGGCTAGACATAGATTTTAGATGAGGCATATACTGTGTTTCTAGCATGACTTATTAACATGCCATGACCAGTCAAGAGGACTGGCCTAATATTGTTGGATGGACAAGTGCCAATTGAGCAGTTTTGAATCCCAAATAACCACTGTGTTTCTTGATTACAGACTCATTTGCACAGGGTTAGCCTTGTAACAGTGTCTAAATATTCACAAATACCAACGGTAAAGTTGAGATGAATACACAACTTCGACTTACAATACAAACACTTCAAAACTCAGCAGACCTTTTGACTGGAATATGTGAATATTCTGCACACAATCAAGGCAAACACTGTGTAAATAAGTCTAATTGAGAGAAACACGATATTTTGGATCTTGAAACTGGTCTATTTTTGCTGCATGGCCATTTATTTTTGACATTGAATGATGGTAATAATATATTTAGTTATTTTAAGACTATATGATAAGAAAGGTATATGCTTAATTGAAGGCTTTACCTTTGTACTTAACTGAAGGCTTTACCTTTGTACTTAGTCAAGTGAAAGGCTAAATTTCAAAACACAAGTCAAATATACAACTCTCATACCTTGCTTATTTAACAATTATTTGTCAAAGGTGAAGTGATTATCGGTGAGATATTTACCAAGCCACCAGTCTTCGACTTCATAATGACTGAGCTTAAGGGGAATAATATTGTTTTATAATTTTAGACTTCAATGTCAGAGGAAACTTGAAATTCGGGATAAAAAGAAATTGTTTTAGTACTTTCAATTTGAAAAACTTTGGAAAACCTTATGATCACCACTCCAGCATCACATCGCATCTAGACTTAGCATGGATCGCATGTGACTGTGTGCTGGTTTTTTCATTGGGTTCTTGGGTATCTCTCCCTCCACCAAACCAAACATGATTAATTCCAATTGAATCAGTGAGTCAATTTGCCAGGTATGCCCTGACTTGGATCAGCCTGTCGTTCTTCATGGGTATTGCTATGGTATAAAGTTTTTAATGGGCTATGAGTCAATAACCCACAAGGTTGAAGGTCAAAATATGGGCTATTGACTTATGTAGACCATCCAGAGGGCAAAAGATCTAAATGTTTTAGTCTAAACCTAATAATCAGTTAAAAAATGGATAGATAAGAATTGAAATTAGGTGGAAAATGTGAGTTAGTTGCCCTGTTTTTGGTTTTTAAAACCAGCTCTTTTAGCTTTTAGCTGGAGAGGTCTATCACTAAAAGACCACTAGTAGATTAGCCAATCAGAGTGGAAGAGTTTTGATAGACTATTAGTATTTAGGTTTATCATTATTATATAGTGATCAAGTTAATAATATTATAATATCATTTGTATCATTTATGCTTCACACACAGACCAACATACTGCAATCTATATTTTTTGCTAGTTTTTTAATGAATGCAATTTTAGTCAGACTGGGTTCCCAAATAAAAAAAGCTTTTATATAACTGACGGAATTTTATTTATTTTTTAATTAAGAGTAAACAAATTGCATTCTTGTGAGTTGTTTTGAACATTAATAATTGTGTTGCATGCTGCATCTTGCTTATTGCTTACCAAGCTTAAATATGTATTATATTCAATATATGTAAATAAAGTCAGTGGGGCTAAGATTTGAAAATTATTGTACAGTAAGGATAAATTTTTGGGAGACTAGATTTGTACTCTGTAAACTCTAAGAGTGATGGGTTAAAAGGGTGTATGTATTTGTTGGAGGGAGGAGCCGGGATATAGGGTTGGACCTGGAGAGCTAAGAGATTCAAAATTATAGTGACAAAAGTCGTGATGCTTTACGGTACGGTGCGAATCGAAAACCCGTGGGCACCTAGAAATATTCCAGGAATATTCTATTCTTCTTTGACCAATCAGAATTGACTTTCAAACCACAAGATAACGGAAAGATAACAACCCTTCTGAAGAAACATTCTTGAAATATTTCTAGGTGCCCATGGCTTTTCAATTCGCACTGTAACCTCTCAGGCCTATTCAATGTCCAAGTAGAATGAAAGTATTGTAAACTTGATGCCAGAACATGAGAAAATAATCTGGGTATGGAAGCTTTGGAAATAGAAACATGAAAATTGTCCCACGTTTTTCACATTAATTCGCAAATCAATATTTCTCCCTAGTTTTTCGTTTTCGAAGGCTGAGGTGCCGACTGCTTTATGTCTAGACCTTTCTCTTTTTTGATAACCCATATATTTCTCAGTGCATTGCATCAGGCCGTATAATTTGATTAAGCTAAAATCCTTGGTAAAGCTGGTACTGAAATTGCGAAAAAAAATTAATTTCAAACCACAAGCCGTCCCTCGTTTATTGCTGCCTTGAAATGCGGATAAAATACGTACAAGATAAAAAAGCGTTTTATTGTTCCAGGCTGCTGGGCGTTAACCTAGTAGTTAGCCAGTTCACTTAAAAGTAATAACAAGAAGAAGAAAAAAACCCTCGATTTTCAAAGTTTGTGAAAAACGACTCTTGGATGTGGCAAATAGGCACGTCGAGGAATGTTAGCATTAGTTTTAATTATTAAAATAGACGGAGCTCTTTCTGGAACAAGAGGCCAAGGTCCACTCTTTCAAGTTCTTCCAGAACGCTTTATCCCTTTGGCCAATAGACATGTCATGGAATATTAGCAGTAGTTAATAGCAGAACATGTTCTAGACGGCGCTCTTCGTTGAACAAGAGGCTGGTCCACTTTCAAACTCTCTCTAAAGTCTGACAAAAACATCTCATCTTCGTTGTGACCAATGGACATGCCGTGTATACGTAGACTCTTCTCATCTTTGAAGCAAATCTTAGTCTTATATCCACCTTCATTTACCAACATTTCTTGACAAGGAATGCAATAAAATGGTTGGGTAGAGAAATGATCCTCTCGGTGGTGTCTTGCTTGATACAAGACACTTTGGAATCGTTGAGGACATTTGCGATTCTCGAAGCACGCCAAGGGATAGACTGAATAAAAATGATCCAAATAGTCTTCACGAGTATTGAAATACTTCCCACAAGAACAGTTGCATTTCTTATGGCAATTTTTCATATGGATCTCTTTTTGCTGAGAAGATGAGAATTTCTTATGTGTGCAAAACTGACAGACAATGGCTTCAGATGTAGGAGTTGTTCTTGATGATACCATCTCGTCTTTTTTGTGAATATTTTTCATGTGAGCGCTTCGCTTTTCGTCATTACAGAACACATATTCTTCCTTGCAGAGGGGGCAGTGTGTTTGATTTTCCAGATGTTTTTGAAGTTCGCTCTCGGTATAAAACCTTCCCTCTGTGCATTCAGGATTGTAGCAAAAGAAATTATGAAGTTGATAGAAATGGTCTTCCATCTCTGATTCGGTCAAAAATACCAACTTACATCTGCGACAAACATTCTCTAGTACTTCAAGAATCGATTTCTCTTTACCATTCACCTCACTCACTTGAAGTCGAGGATTTTTGACTTTCAAGATGGCACACACTTCCTCAAATTTCCGATCCTTGTCAGCAACAAGAATCAAGGATGATCCAACATCCAGCTCTTCAAGCCATTTTTCTTTTTCTTTTTTCTCGGTAGCGTATCTTTCCAGTAGGTAGAATGTAATGGCGGCGTCTGAAGCGTATGGACAAGTTGTCAATGTAAAATGCGTTTCGATCCAATCTCTTTCAGGAGGCATAGCTTTTTCTGGTGTATCGCTGCGTAAGAACACATGGATTTTCAGCCTCGTTTCTTTAGCCTCTTGACAAGAAAATTCCAACTCGTCGATGAAGTTCCGACAGCTGCTTTCCCAGATTAAGAAAAATTCCTCCATTGGTGCTGTCTTAAATCGTAATTTAAACTCTTAACTTGCTTCCTCGTTTGATTCTCGATTCACGTTCCAAGGTCCCGTTTCTATTGTTTCGTGGTTTCAAAGGAATGAATTCGCTAGATCCAAAGTATCTTTAATCTGTTAGCATCATCTCGAGAACTAAACAAACAAATCAAGCATTAGGTAGCCTTTGGCGCAGCCAAATGCAAACAATCATCAGCATGTATTTAGAATTCAAATGGAATATTTTGATCTTTTGTCCAAGAAACGTCAAGAAAAGTAGACGTCTTGCTGCTGATGGGTCATAATTAATCAAAACAAACCCTTTCTTTGTTTTAAAAGACCTGGAAAAAAGACGTATAGCTCTTCTTTGTTTGCTTTCATTCGGCCGAATTCTCGACGCAATAATAAAGAAATAGAAAATCATAATCCCAAACAAAACATAATGGAGTCTGTAATAGGATGGTGAACAAAGAGAGTGGTGGTTCAGTTTACATAAGATTCCACTTAATAGTGCGTCAATTGTTTTGGTGTCAGAAAAGTATTTAGAAATCAAGACAGATAAGCTTATTTGTTGCTTATAGACTCTTTAAACAGTCTAAGATGTTGATGAACATAGTATGAAAAGATAGCTGGATTAACGTCATCTAATAGTCAACAAACTTGCACTCAGTGCGCATACTCCAGTGCTGGCAGTACTAAAATTCACGGTAAGACTTGAGATTGCGAGAGAATTTGGCCAAAAAGCAGCATAAATCAGTGGCGGGTCAGGATTTTAGAAATGGGGTTCCAAAATGGCCACCATGCAGAAAACAAATGGCCCGATAGGCTGAGCGTTAAGAAAATGACCGGCTTCACAATGGGAGCTTCAATGAAACCATACAAGCATCCGCTACTTTAATTTTTTTTTTAAATGCGATATAGGTGTCACGTGACGATCATTTGGTAGGATGAACAAATGTTTTGCAAACCTTACCGTGACAGTATCACGTGTAATCGTTTCAGTCACAAGTAATCAATATGATAAGGCGGCGCCCGTTTTAGTCTAGATCTGGCCACGGATTGCACGAAGCCAGCGCTATCCGGTGGATAAATCCTTATCCATTGGACTAGTCGAGACGATGTTATCCAATAAATTTATCCTGAGTGGGTAAATTATCTGTCGGATCGAGCTTTCCATCTTTCGCACAATCGGCCCCTGTGATAGACCATGAGCCAGGGCTAGCTATTCGTTGAAGATGAATTCCTCAGTTCTGTGTTCCATCACCTTTGCGTGGTCTAATAGTTCCGTTTTACTTTTAAGGCAAACAGCTCTTTTATATTGATTGACACAAGCCATGCATACATACGGGAACTGGCACTGGTGATAAGACACGTGATGAATCACCTGTTCAGCTGTCGTGCGAAACCGCTGTGCACAAGCTGGCTCAGCTAAACAAGGCAATGGATAAAGACTATAACGAAAATGAAACGTTGTCTGGTCCACTTCATTACGCTGCTCTAACGAAGAAGCATTGCGATTTGTGTTGAGTTTACGAACATGAACGCTTCTCATGTGTTCGTCTTTCTTCTTAGTGCTGCAAAACACCATTTCCTTTCCAAGTCCGGTCAAACAAATGTCACACTTTCGTTGCTTGGATACGTGATCTTGAAGCTCAGATTTATTCCAAAATCCATTTCCTTTTCTACTTCGATCGCAGGAAGGATTATCACACAAAAGCAAATGATTGAGGCGATCATGGTGCTCTTTTTCTGTACTGTCACGAAAAATGATCAAACACAGAGAACAAACGTGATCAAAACAATCAGTGATGGACGTCATTGTAGAATTGATTGGCACTATCGATGCCACGCTGTTTGTCTTTATCACTGAAATAAGCTCCAGAAATCTTGACTGGTCTTTAGACACAAGATATAGTACAACATTGGGTTTGGTCAAAAACTTGCGATCCGATATTAGAGAAGACATTAACGCGACCCACGCCGCTTCAGTTGCTTCTGTCGCTGAAGGATGTTTTGATATCCATTGCCAGTCATTCAAAAGAAGACTCTCAGGGTTCGATCTGTTGTAAAAGACATGGATTCGAACTGTCTTTTGAGCAGCAGGCGTGACTGTGATTTTATCAGAGCTTCTTAAAAATTTCGATCCTCCGCTTTCCCAATCTATATAAAAATATTTCACAATTTGTCCTGTCATTTCTCAATATCGAGTATCCATCTAGAACTACTTCTGATGAGTTCATATCCACTGTGAAGGCTAAACGTGAAGCCAGGTCGTATGTGTTTGCGCAAGCTGCAAGAAGCTGTTAATGGGTAAATAGTTAAAATCGCGGCCGTAGCCAATCGAAGTTTTTTGGTTTGCTAAATTTAAAGTGACAATGTTCAAGTGCCAATCTTTGGAAAAACGAAAGTTGTCATGTTTTTATAATCGTACTAATTACGTGTTAAAATTTCGCTTCAAAAAGGCGTTCTTTTGTACATGTTTTATATATATATCGGCGTTGACGTTTGAGGCATTTTTAATATTTAAACTCGTACATGCCGTTCATTATAAAATTAGGTTGCTATGGCAATCTAACCATCCTTCTTTTCCATATTAAAAATTCAACCAACAATTGATCATGATTTTATATCCAATCACACATTCGTCAACATTATATCCATTCACATTCCATCCTTCCCATCCATTAACAGCTTTGCACCTATCCCTCAATTTATTACGCCTTTTTTGGCGTTAAATAGAGTCGCTCTGCTTCTCGCAGCTCAAAACATATCAGCTAAGCATGAGTGTTCAATTTTTGATACGTGCATACTCAAATAAAGGGCCCGGTTGTACGCCGGACAAATAGCGCTATCCAACGGATAAATCTTATCCAGTGAATAAATCATGGTTTATTGGATAACAATATCATTTTATCAACTGGATAAGGATTTATCCTTCGGATAGCGCTATCCACCCTTCGTACAAACGGGCCCTGATGTACGATATCATACTGTGCTGTACTGTTGCTGGGTATTGAAACCAAATTTAGGCTGGGTATTGATACCAAATTTAGTTTAAAAACGAATTTGAATTTGTTCTTTTCCTTCTTAATTTTAGCATACTGTTTCATCATCCCATGCATTATTCCTGCTTTGATAATTGTTGCTAAAAATACTCGCTGCGCCGCACACACATGACTGGACTAAGGAATACTGAATAAGAGCGTCACCTGGACAACAGGAAATTCTCGTTCAAAACATTTTGTCGAAGCCACCTGCCATCGACCACACAAGTGTCAATGCAAACATGAAATATTGAATTCAAATACAAAGCGCACTGAAATGTCTCAACGTTAAAAACGATTTATATACTGATCTAAGCTCAGTCATATATAACAAATTTCTGACTGTTTTGAAAAAGAGGATTTAAATTCAGCATTGTTCGAGAAAGAGAAGGAACCGTTTTGAGAAAAGGACTTCTTTAATCGGCTGATATTTTTGTAATCAAGATTGGAATCTTACAAGTTCTTTTGTGATAAAAACGCAAACGGTGTGGCCTATATATCTAATTCAAAACTTGAAGACTACAGTACATTATTGTGTAAAACATTGCAAGTGAATTTCAAAAACTTTGACGATTTAGAGTAGTTTCTACGCCAGAAAACGAGACCCATACAGTAAGGAAAGGAAGACCATCCATTGAGCGATAATGACTTGTTCAAGTTCATGTTCAAGAAAGGTAATTTTCATTGAATGGGAACGCGAATTCATTGATTTTATCAAGGGAATCACGCTATCTCCTTCACTAAGAGGCAACCTCGTTGTTCATATTTTTTATCCACAAGATTTGTCGCCCAGTATTCTACCTAAATACAGGCCATGGCTTTTCAAACATCCTGCACCAACAGACATTTACAGAAAACATGCAGCTTGGAAAATTCTTGAAGACTATGTATTGGAGTATAGATATCCTAATTCTGATTCCAATATAATCAGTCGAACTTCAGTTGGACGTGGTAAGATTCCTAATGGCGTTATGGAAGGAAAAGAAGTACAGTTTTTGGGGTTTATTCTATCGAAATCACTAGAACGCATCCAGAAACTCGTAGAAGCAGTTGCCAGCAGATATGGTATCACTTTTACAGCGATAAATTGTGAATCTTCGATTTCCAATCTTCTTGACCTGGTAGAATACAAGTGTAGTATTTGTAGGATCGGATTTATGGGTAATAGGGAGTTGACCAAGCATGATATGGATTTCCATAGCCTGTTATGCTACAACCCTTACTGCACTCACAGTAGCAAGTTGGCATCATTTTCATCAGAAAAGGAACTACTGCAACATGTTTCGAGTCAACTGAGGTGTACTTTTTGCCCTGGAAAAGTTTTCTGCACGAAGGAAATATTGGACGATCACTTAAGGAAGTCACACAAAAAATGCTCTTGTCCGTGTGGGGAGTATTTTGGAAACAGGGAAAAGTATTTGGACCACTTTTTCTCGTTTTATCCCACACCCAAAAAAATTGCGTTCCGGATACCAATCAAAGAAACAAACTCAAGCAAGAAAAAAAGTGCTAATTTGACACCTAAAAATCAGTATCATCACGAAAAGAAAGCGTGCTGCAGAAACCAGGCAGTTCAAAGTCAAAATTCTCTTGCCAGCCATGATGGTACCATCAGTCGTATGAGTGATGCATCGTCGATATCAATTAAAAGCGCGGATGAAACCCCATTTTAATATATATATATAAGAGTAATGAAAAGGTTGTTTGCATGATGGCGTCTTTGCACTGCCTCTACCAAAATGCTTCGCGAATTTTCTTTTTTATTAGAATTTGTACTCATGAGAATAGTAAGAGAATTAATAGGTGCAAGGGATTCTGGAAGTAGTAGTAAATTACGATATATTGCAAGTGACCTATTAACGGAGGTACTTCAGTAGATCTAAATATGGTTTTCAACATTTTATTTTGCGCATCCATTGCTCAGTGTTCCAAATTAAAAATGCAACTCGTTTGCTTGCATATTGTCCACGTCATTCACGGCGGTACAAGAAGTGAGGGCAAGCGTCTCGAGCATTCTTGAGATGCTGTCTTCTTACGTACGAAGTCTGATTTACGCATTTGTTGCATGCTGCGTCGAATGTGAATGGATAATGGCAATCGAAGCATAGGACACAAACAAAATAGGGATAAAATAGGCTAAGATGCTATAAATGATGCTTGACTGTATGGTAAACTGGGAAACACATCACATATCAATGTATAGCTGTAATCGTTTAAGTTAATTCTTACGGAATCGTAAGATAAAAACGTTATGAAAGATGCTAAAGGCCTACGTACTCTAAAAGTCACTTGCAAACTCGTCTTCTTTGCGCGCAAATCGTCTAGTTTGCAGGCCAGTGCAAATGCGTTAACTCCACTCCAAATATACACATGGTCGCTGGGAGAAGGGGGGGGGGGGCTATTTTAGATGTAGCTCTATAGAAGCAGGTTGGAATGCGTAGACCTTGTCATTTTTAGTCTCTGTTATGTTTGAAAGATTTGCATCAGGTTGCGCTGGTATATTGAAGTCGATTCCTGAGGCCTGATTCTAGATTCTAGGCCGAGTTATCAACAAATACGTTTGTCCCAAACCTGTTTTGTTCAGAACGTCGCTCTCTCCTCGGCTTCCAAATTCCATCTGATTTAGAAATGAAGCTAGTAACAGCTCTAGAACGATCCTTTAATTTGCCAGGCAGATGTAGGTGCGTTGACTTATAAAGTGTCCTAAATGCATTGCTGGCGTTCTAGTGTGTTTTGGGGCTTCGGTTAAGAGTGGATTGCCCCCAAAAATCAAGCAATGTTAGACACCCATGGCCAAAACTGGAATGACAATGATCAGCAATTCATTTCTTTTCGATTCATTCTTGACTGATACACTATTATTCAGTTTTCAATATTCAAGCAGTTTTCAGTATTCAACGTTTTTAATTTGAAATAGCTGTATATCATTTTTTATTATACAGTCAGTGCACTTGGCAGAAAATTGCAAGCAAACTCAATTAATAAAAGGTGCTAATGAAGAAGGAGCACTTAAAGCAGCAGGTTGTCATTTGCATGCATTGTCATCTGCTCGGTTAGTTAAATATTTTTTTTGTCAATTATTAATATAGTAAATGTATCGATCAGCCTCCTCTCCTCTTACTCCAAAAATTCAACTCCACCACGCTTAAAAATCAATTTCGCGACGGTAAAAATAAAATCGCTCTTTGAAGTAAGCGTATCTTAAAAGTTGGAAAGATCATAAGTTAATAAAGGGAAAGTACTACATCTGTAAATAAACACTTCAAAATTTACGTGTTTTGGCAACATGCATCCCTGTAGGACTAGTGCATTAGATAAAGAGAACAATGTCGAAATTTTAGGTATCCATGGAAACATGTCTGTAACTGCAGCCTTATCCTTCCTTTGTTCATAATCCATATATGGTATTGGATATTTTTTGCGCGAAACTCAAAATGGCGGACGTGTGGAGGAAAGCTGCTCAGCTCCTTTCTTATAAATCAAAAGGTGAAGATCAGTTGCCTTATTCTGAAAATGAGGATAACATGCAGGTAAATACACTGATTCATGGGCTTTTTTTCTCGTTTGGCAATATTACTTTTATATTAGGACAAAGCTATCATGAAAGCTGAGCTATGTGCTGAGCTCTGTACTCATGAGTACATGTTTTTTCTGCCTCTTTCTCAGTATATAAACGATCATGGTATTTTATCGGTCGCAGGTCTGCCAGGGATTGGTCTAACAAAAGCTTTTTATTATTTGAAATACATCTTAATTTCTTAATTTTGATTGATCCAACTTTGGGCTAAAAGTTAAAAATTTCCAATGGCTTTGCAGTGGACATAAATTCTGTTTGTGGACTTGAAGCATCACACTGGATTTTCTGCCTTTCCAGAGCATATAGACTGGCCTTAATTAATGACTAAATTACTAAGGCCCTGTTTACAGGAGAGCACGATTCTAGAACTAGGATCTTCTTCGCAGGCGAGTTAACCTACTGGCTATTCATTTATTGCTTTTTGTTTACGTGCACATCTACCTGCAGTAGGATCTTCCTGTCTCGCAGATAGAAAGATCCTAGCACCAGGGATAAAGTTGACACACCTTGCTCTCTATGTAAACTGAACACATGGATGGTTGATTCTCCCGCAAGGAAGATCCTAGATCTAGGGGGGGTGGGGGGATTCTTTAAAGGGGCACTTGGATGAAAATCGATGAAAATTGAAAATGACTTGAAACTTGGTTAAACTTATCTATATAGCCAAGCAACATATTTTCTTCACAGTAAAAAGTGGGGGTAAAAATGAACAATTTTATTCAGCATCTACATTGTGAGTAAATGACGTCATTTACTCAACCCTATTGTTATTTCTGGTTTTGAACCAAAATATCTCAATAGCAAGTGGCTCCCAGACTAAAATTTTCACTAATTATGTTTACATTGTCATAATTAAGTCATATTATCCTCAAATACTTCAGTTATTTGGACTTTCAAAAATTGGGGTGTTTTCATCCAAGTGCCCAATTTAAGCACAGTTTTTTTATTCCCTTGTCTTAAATATATCTCTTTACCTTGGGTGCACTGTTTTCCAATTTCAGAGAGACCGCATGTAATTTAGGTCTATTAGGCCTAATTTTAGGAATAATTGTCACAAAATTAAGTCTGACAAATCTATAGGGGAAAGACTTATTTAAGCATCTGAGCCCCTTACACTCTTGCAATATAATATGATGCCCTCCTACCCCCCCCCCCCAAAAACAGCTGCACATTACCAGTCTTCAGCCCTCTTCTCCACTGCAATGGCCTGACAAGGTTGGTTAATATTGCAAAAAGTCCATTTTCCTTGCAAAAACTAAAATTGATCTAGTCTAAGCTTTGTTGTCTTAATTAATGTTTTGATCAGCTGGGGAGACCTAGGTCTTAGTTCCTGAAATAAAGTGTTTTTATTGTTTCGTCTTTCAGGGTCATGAAGCAGCAGGAAACAGAACTTTTTGAGGGTGTGAGGTAAGGTGCACAAGTATAAAATATTAGTTTATCTTATGTTAGAATAAAAGGTAAATGAAAGAATTAAAGTAGGATATGATAAAAGAGAAAATTTCTAAATCAATATGGTGGTGGGTGAAAGCTTTTAAATGTGTTTATGCAGAAATATATAGTCTCTGTTATATAGCAGTCCAATTTTAGTCTTATTCCAGTCCACTACAGTCCACTTCCCTTCCAGTGAACCATGATAGGGACTCTGTTCCTGCCTTTAAATCTGCACTCAAAATTTTCCTGTTTAACAGAAGTATGCAAGCTAGTATATTTTTTATTTACTTATCATATAACCTGCTGCCTATTTGCTCCTCTTGTGAAAAGCATTGATACTCTTGTTTTAGGGGGGTTAAATAACAAAAAATGAACAGTAAATTTCTATATCTGAGATTATTTCAAATTAGTATCCTTAGCTGAGGAGATTTTATTAATCTATGATTTACTTATAAATTTGTGCAATTGTGCTACTTTCCTACTACTCAACCCCTCTGACCCACCCACTCTTAGCATACGCACACACACAATGGAATCTTTTAAAGAATTAATTCCTCAATCTATCTGTGTTCATTTGATAAAAAAGTATATTGTGCATGTCAGATTGCTACTCTCTTGTACTTGGATGTATAAATTCTTGTTTCTTTATTTCAATATTCTTAATTTTTTTGTTATTTGATTAGATTTCCAAACCAAGGAGCAATAACTCCTTGTGGGAGCTGTTGAGGGATTGGGGGTTGAGGTTGGGGTATGGGGGGGTTAATATTGTCATTTGATTTTTATACAATTGATACAATAAATTTTGTTTTTTTCTGGCATAATTGTTTTATCTAGATATTTTTTGGTTTATTCAATGAGAGAGCAATACAGACACAAAGATATTATCATTGTTGTTGTATATTTATAATTTAAGTATATTTTTTCTAGCCATATGAAATGAATTACAGTTCATATCGTCATGATTGTTATTATTATGATTATTAGTTATATATTTATATATTATGATTATTACTTATGATTATTATGGTTATTATTTCATTCTTGTTAAAATAATAAATTATTATGCCAAAATAGTCCTTCATCATCATGATTATTTTTGTATCACACAAAATTATTTTATGTAAAAAAATGTAATATTTTTAATATTTCAAAAGGTCAAAAGGAATATTACCACTCCCTGATTTGTAACACAGGGAACCCAAGGCAGCGATATAAGATTAGACTGCGCATGGAAACCAAATAAATGATTAATATTTATGTAAAGACTTTGATTTATGAACACAGACTCATAAGTAATAATAATTAGGGCTTTATATTCGGAATGGCAGGTCAAAATTTTGTAAAAACATATGATTTTAAAGCCTTTGTAGAATGCCCAGTAACTAAAATCGAAGGTATAAACAAGACCACGCGGAAAACCAGACGCCATGTTCCATATTAGGCGTGGAGAATAACGCTTATACGAGCTCTGATTGGACAAAATGACAATGATTGACAGCAACAACACAGCGATGCATAATATCCGCTTGGAGCTTTCTTCACTTGACTGTACGTACGTCCGATCGAAGCTATAATCAAAATGTCTGCTCGAGGGGGAAAAGCCGCGAAGAGGGCAAAAGCCGTTTCACGATCGGCAAAAGCAGGACTCCAGTTTCCTGTAAGCCGTGTTCACAGGTATCTCCGACAAGTTACACATCACTATCGAATCGCCTCTGGAGCGCCGGTGTATCAGGCAGCTGTAATGGAATACCTTACAGCCGAGATCCTGGAGTTGGCTGGCAATGCGGCCAGGGACAACAAGAAATCAAGGATTATTCCCCGTCACATTCTACTCGCTGTTGCTAACGATGAAGAACTTCATAGGGTACGTATAGTTGACTTCATACCGTCTGAAGTTGTTGTTTGTTTTTGGAATGTTTAGCGAGCTTGATCAGGAGCCCTCTTTGGTGTTTGCTTCCAGCTGTCACACTGGTCATTGTTGTTCTTAAAAAACGAACCATATTCGCGCCAAAGAGTAAAAGATCAGTCTCTAGGATCTCAAACATTGTGAATACACTTCGAAATACTCTTCACCGAGTAAATATCGAGTCTTTCGATTATATTTGTTCAGTGAAACCACATGTTCCTGCGGTGAAAGCTTTAGAGCTTTCCTGTAACATTTCTAACCTCGTGCTCCCCCTTTCCTAACTAATTGTGCTACATATATACAGTATATATATATTAATGTTGTAAGATATGTTCCTGCTAAATTGATAAAACAAGCTATTCTTATATTGCTTTTGAATCTTAACAATGAAATTTTTTTTGTTTTACCGACTTTGCTTGTGGTTTTATTATTTGAGCTCAATCTGTTTATTATAAACTGTATTTTGATTCTAAAATGCTTAACTTGATGCATTAGACACGCATATTAGAGGGATTTCCATATTTGCATCAGCACTGGTGTTCTAATCCCTTCCTTACTCCCTGACCATTTGCCATCATCTGCCATATCAGCTGTTATCAGCATTGTTACATATCCAGTCTAAGAACACTTAGCATGAGGGAGGGAGGGCGGATCTTTTGTCTGTGGTAGGCCTGAATTAGACTGCACAATATTTAACATGTATGTCTAAGTATATGATAATTAGAATTCATGCTACTGAATTGTCTTTGTCAACTTAATTGCCTCAACTCAAATCACACAGGAGTTGATTTTTCTTTGTTTGAAAACTTTTTTCCTATAAATGGTGTAGTCTTTTGAAATTAAAGCATTGGTGTCTAGTTGTTCAGCAAGGATCATTCACTTTCTTGAATATATATTGAAAGACTTTCTTAAAACTTTTTTAATGAGAGTGACACAATCTTCCTTATCAACTGTATTGCCTAAGAGATCTGGGAGTGATTCTGAAGTTGAGGAAAGAAACTAAAATTTGACAAAAATAGATTATTTAATATAATACTTGTTAGACTTACTGGTGGTTCAGTGACAGATCAGATCCAGAATGATGTCAAGGTGGCTGGCTTTAGAAAGCTAGTATATAATTTCTCTTTCACATTGGCTCAGATGACCACATCAAATAGTGGTCCCATCTCATTCAGAGGTGTTAAAAACAGATACTGTAGATAGAGGGCTATAACTTTATCAGTCGCAAATGTCATGTGCCACCCTCTCTAAATAAATTCTATTTATTTGTTTTTATATTATTCTTGCTAGTAAGCTTGTTAAGGAGGCAAGTGGCTAACGGCAAGCTCCAGCCATGTCCATTTGACTCTTGAGTTTTTGATGAAAGACATTAATTGATTTATTTGTTGATATTTTCAGTTGTTGAAGGGAGTCACCATTGCTTCAGGGGGAGTCTTGCCCAACATTCACCCTGAATTGCTGAAGAAAAGAAAAGGGGGTAAGCTTGTCGCTCCAGAGGACCTTCACCCCAAGAAGCCCAAACCCTCGTCACCCAAAAAGGATGCCGCTGTTGCTTCTACCTCTAAAAAGCCAGCCCCTGCTAAAAAAGCACCAGCTGCCAAGGCTTCTGCAACAAAGGGCAAAGGAAAGGTAACTTAAATCGAAAGCTTATTTGTGCATAATATACTGTAGGCATTGTGTAATAGGTGCAATTTAATGTAGAATATTGCTGTTTGAAAAAAAAAGTTGTGAATAGCAATCAATGATTGGCGATTGCACATCGTAGAGGAACTGTGCTCTTACTATGACAGAGACATAAATCAAATACCAAACCCAACAACTCGACATCTAAGGTCTGTGTGGAATGGTGCAGGCATTGTTTAGGTATTTAAAGATGATAATGGAGAAATTCTTATTCACCACAGTTTCTCTCAGTTGTACAGTTGTACAGTTGCCAGTCACTGATCGCCGTACACAGTTTGCCCCTACAACCTTTTTTGAAAATAGCTGTATGTCTTGTGTTTCACCTATTTGTACCTTTGAGTACACAGCTATTTAAAAAAAAGGTTTGTGAAGGTTTTGTTGCATGTACATGCTGCATCTTGCACCATACTTACTTAGCATTAAATATATTGCAATCATATAATCATATTTATGTAAATATTGTTTTTACAAATGAAATAGGCCATTTCACGGATTCCGTTACTCAACCTCAGCCTCATCAGCGTGTAATTATTCTTTGGAATTTGACCACAGTCCACAGTAATGAAAGGAATTTACACATCAACGGACAATTGAAACACTTAAAAATTTCACAGGTTGTGCAATTTCTAAACAATATATTACACGCTGAGGAGGCTGAGGTTGAGCCGCGGGATCTGTGAAATGGTCTATTATGCCGTAAAAAAACTTGCAGTTAAAGTTTGGTAAAATTCCATATTGTTGTGACATTTCGCTCATGAATTCTAATGGCTCATAGTACATTTCAGTCTTAGTATAAAGCATACCGCATGGAACAAAAACTTTACCAACATTTTTTTAAATAGCTGAATATAAAATACAATGACTTTTTTTGACACTGTGTTCATTGATCATCAGGGTACTGAATTGTAGCCAGATGATGGGTGCAGTGTCTGAGAGATTGGTTTTTGTATATATTTTATGAAGCAAATTTTTATTTCTATGAAAACTTATCTTTATTAACATCATCACCAAGCCTAATTCCTGGACTAATCATTACATAGGCCTTTTTTATATTGGATAAACAGATGCATTCTGGTCTAGCTTGGGTACAAACAAATACCATGCATAGAAGGAATGATAAAAATATGTTTTTACCAAAGCCAGACCAAGCACAATGTGTCTATAATATATATGGTAAATGATGGAATATGAGCTATAGTTGTATGATATTTTATTGCGGTTTGAAATTTGATTTTTCGCTGCTGTCAATCTAAAATAATCAGTCCATGATCAAGTTTAAAGTTCTTCCTTAATCGGAATTAGCCTCAGTTTTGTGTAGAACATGTACTTATGTTCCAATATGTTAAAAATAGTACCAAGTATCCAGTACCAAGGATACAGAAAATTGAAAATGAATTAATAGTATTAATAGTTAAAAGTAAAGAAGTTTACCACCATCACATGTCATTTCAAGCCTACTTGCAACACTTTACTTGCAATGTAATGGATTGTATTTATTTTGGCATATTGTTAACATTAAATGACTTATTAATGTCCACAGGGCCGTGGTAAGGCAGCTGATAAAGGTCCTGGAGATGGAATATCAATTCTCTCTGAAAAGACATTGTTCTTGGGACAACGTGTAAGTAAATGTAACAGATAGTCATGAGAATTAGTCATGACCTTTTGTTTATTTTGTCTATACAGTACATATTCCTGCCATTATTGTCATGACTTCTATACAGTCAAACTATGAACACCCTAAAATATGTATGGATTGTTTGTCTTAAAGTATTATTAGCTCAATCACACCAAAGTTGGATACTTCTTCATATTTAAATTTTGTTTTAGAGAAATTCGATCTTAGTATACATGTAGAAAATCTTTCACAAAAAAATATGGCAACACATTGCTGTCATCCAATTGCAGATGTTCCAATTCAGTTTTGAAATGTTTATATTTGAAGAGAACACAACATTCCCTACATTTCTGCTAACTTTAAGTCTGTTGGGAAGTATAGCCTATGAAATACCCTTTTTTTCTTTACAGCTGTCTGTTGTTCAAGGAGAGTTGGTAGCTGTTGAAGCTAATGCAGTTGTTCATCCTACTGATGGTAAATTCCAAATGAAGGGGGAAGTAGGTGAGTATTTTCATTTTAACAAATAGACATCAGTTTTTTATGTGTCTGTCCTCTTATTGACGATAAATTGCATCATCACATTGTCAAAGTAGTGTGGATCCATGAGGCATAGCCGTGATCAAAACAACCAACGGAAAGAATGGCGCTCGTCAACATCAGCTTAATCTGTCTTTTCTCTTACTGATGATAAAATTAACCAATCAGCTCACGAGAAACTTTTAAGTTATTGTAAAAAACTAAATACACTGTCAGATTCAAATCATAAAACATCAAAACTTTGAAATGGTTAATGGGAAGTGCAGTGGAGGCAGGGGTGGGGTAGTGGTGCAAACATTTTTTCTCTCATCACTGCGACCCAGGTTCAATTTCCAGTAGCAGTGACAACAGTGGTAAGCACAAAAGAAGTGCAAGAGTCGCCCGAAGCATAGATTCTAATATTGTTGATGTTTTGTCAGGGAAGATTCTCAGCAAGGCAGGCGATGAAGAGTTCAAGAAGGAAATGAAAAAACTGGCAGAGGAAAATGCTAATTTTGAAGTGACACAAAGTGAGTAGAAAAATTTAACAACTAAGTTCTCTGATTATGACCACAGTCCAGAAATTGAAAGACTGAAAAGCTTAGAACCTGCATTAAGTTACGTTTGTTATTTTGCTGCGATCTATCGCTAGTGACTTTGAAATTTTTGCTAGTGAGAACAAAACTTACTAGCAAGGTTTTGCTTGTGGGTTTAAATATGTCATTCTCTGTAGCATGCTAATTTAAAAGTACCAAGAAAATTACATAGCTGCATGTACATCGACTTAGATTGATTCAGGGTTTTGTAAAGTAATTCTTGTTTGCTCATTGGTCTGTTAATTGTCATTTTGTCATTGGGTTAAAACATGGGTACACAGATTTCCATACATAGACTGTATAGTAGCTACTTTCATTTCAACCCTGTTTAGCTGCACTACTGCGGTACCTGTGGTGGTGATTAGAGATGACGATTCTTTTTTTTTTTTTGGATGGACAAAAATGTTTTTAGTATAATTTGATTCCTGAATATTGAGTTTCTCACGCTGTGATTGGTCGAGTGACCAGTGATTCTGAGACCATAATCAATGCTCGAGTGGTGATTATGAGGTTTCCCAAAGTTTGACAGCGTGGAAGTAAGTCTAAAACTTTTTCATTCTGAATTTCGACTTTTCTCTGATATTCAGGTCTAAGATTATACTAAAACAATTATTCCACTTAGGCTCAGTAATAATCACTTCGCCTTCAGTGATTATTTTGTTGAATAATGATATATATATATACTTGATGTACTTGCAGCTGCCATGTGCGCTTCACATAACATCAAGGCATCCAATATCATCAATGTAAACTGCCCAGTCTATGACTCTCAGTCCGAAGAAGAGTCGTCAGAAAGCCTGACTAAAGCAATCAAAAATGTGCTTACAATGGCTGATGAAAACAATCTCAAGACTATTGCCCTTCCACCCATAGGACTTGGAGAGTAAGTAAATCACCACCTGGATATTTTTTGGTATCAGGAATAGACCAAATCCACTTGAGTGTAATCTTTTCCAATTTCAGACCACAGATCATTCTCTTGAGAATGATATTTTTTGTCTGATTCATGCACAACCATTAAACAAAGAAGTTATACTTTATTAAATGAAACATGGTATGAAATAGGAAAACATTATGCCCAATTTGATTTGGACGATTTTTAGAAATCTTCTGGAAATTGAAATAATTGTAAGGTAATTTATTTTCAATAATGCGGGAAGTGTTTGCTCAATTTTCCTGAGCCAGTGGCTCATGTATAAAGTGTTCGAAGGTGCACCCTTTACACCCTTAAGACTATCAGTGCTCATTATTATGGGTATTTAAAGCTAAAGGTTAAGCCAGGGAGGGGGGGGGGGGGACTGTGTGATTTGCCGTGAACTTTTAAAAAATGGTTGTAGCCCTCCCCTTTCACTCAGTATGAAATGCATGCCTCTTCTATTATTAAAAATAAAAATAATTGGGATTTAACAGTGGCATTTACACAGAGTGGCTCTTTGTCTACGAAAATTCCAATTAGAAAATAAAAGTTGAAGCTTTTTTAAAAACTTTTTTTTGTCCTTATTTAATTTATTGTATTCATTCATTTAATAACGTTTCTTAGATTTTTTGCTTCAACTTCATTATCTTCTATTTTGCTAATGCATTTGTTGTTATTACTATTGTTTTTCCATTGACCTATGTACTCCATGTAATTTAGTTTCTTGTGTAAATAGATATATAGACCCCCTCGATGAGTTTTAGCTCTTGGGGTTAATATGTGATTAAGTGTGTTTGAATAATGATTTTCAAAAAATGCATCAAAATAAGAAAAAAGTACATTTTTTACCCATTTCCTCCTTTCCTCGATGAGTTTTTTCTTAATATGTCATTAGAGAGTTTTAGATTTACGTTCACGGCAAACGTGAAACGTCAGTTGATCAGTAAAAAGATATTTTAAACGGCTGAAAAAGAATCGCAAAAAAGTCCAAGTAGTAGAAAAACAAAAGAGTATTTGCGCTTGGTGAAAAGGTTTGTAAAAGGCAAAGTAAAGTACAGAAAAACTATGAAAACGTGGTCACGTTTGCCGTTTGCGGGGAGAAAAAAAAGTCAATCTAAAACTATCTATTACTGTGCGGATACTCCAACCGGGACCAATATGATAAATTAGTATGATTAACTAATTATATTGCGATATTTAGTTCAATGCTTTTAACTGGCCAATCAGATAGCGCATCTACATAAAAAGAGCGTGAGAACGTGATAATCTGATTGGCTAACACTGTTATCAATTCAATCCCTGTCTAGTTTACCGTTATCTGATTGGTCAGTTTTATTCCAGAGGTCCTGTTAGTGTGTCCGCACAATAAATATGTTAAAATGATTTTTTTTTAATACATCAAAATAAGAAAAACGTACATTTGCTTACCCATTTCCCCCATTCATTCACAGTTTCAAGTTCCCCAAGCAGCACGCAGCCCAGGCCACCCTCAAGGCTATCAACAACTACTTTGTATCTGCCATGGCCACCTCTATCAAGCAGATATACTTTGTGCTTCAGGATATGGAAAACATTGGTATATACACGTTGGAGCTAGCCAAGCTTGACTCTTAATTCAACTAGATAGGTCATGTATAGTTGTTTTAATATTCTATCAAGTCTCTATCTGTCATGTCTTAAACTTATTCATCCTGATTTCCTTGTTGATTAGTTAGTAGACATATTTTAAGTATAAATATTAAATATGGACCAAAATCCTAGGTTGGATTTCCGATGCTTCTTTTCTTGTAAAATTCTCCGTGAGAGCTAATAGACAGCAAGTTTTATTCATTCATCTTCCTCGTGCGAAAAACCGTTTATCAACCTCAGAAGACAGAAGAGGAAGCTTACCATCTAATCTTACACTCGAATGCACTGATGTCGTATTTGTTAGAGGTATCTTGGATTTGAATCTTTTGTTTCCACTGACTGCATTTCTTTTTGTCTTCGTCAACCATGTGGACTATAACTAGAAACATCTTTTATTTTTCTTGCTTCAATTTCTTTGGGAGTTTTGATGAACGTCGATATTACGTAAGTCAGTCGGAGAAAAAGACGGAGACGCCTTTCAATCCCTGGTAGTATTGCAGAGTACGTAGGCCCTGATAAATCAAATGGAGCCCTGTAGTAATCACAAGATACTGTGCGTATTAATTTCAAACTAATGCGATCCATACTACGACCTTGAGAGTATTTTACTTTGTTTTTGTCTGTCGTTTTAGCTTTCGTAAAAGAAAAGGAGACTTGGTTCGTAGACCCTCTGTAGGAGCCGACTGCAGCTTATCGCGCGTCGCGTAATTTATTTACCGTTAAAGTTCTTATGTTGCATGTTAGACACAACTTGCATAACGTATTGCTTGCCTGGAGTAATAATGGTGCAGCATGAAGGCGCTTATGTATAACGCACAACTAAATAGCCAGACAAAATAGTTTTACTGAACGTTACCTAGTGTAACTCTACCTTAAATTCTGCAGAAGGGTCTACTGGTTGCATAAAATGGATTTTATTCAAGTAAGACAGCAATGTGGGGAGTACATTAGCCATTCTGAGGTTGAGGGAAAACCAGAGTTGAGTTGGCATCGCAGTGCATCGTAGGACTGTTTTAAGGGGACATATTTCCAAGATGGCGTCTATTTCGTCCCCTAAAACACTCTCAAAATACACTGGAATGCTAATTCGACCTAGTTTTCCCCTCAACCTTGTAATGGGTAATAGCACTTTGCCTTCATAGTTGATTGTCTATTGTAACTGGTTATTGGCAAATACCCGATGCGGGTATGAATTTTCCTGTGAAATACTTATTTGTCAGACTATATCAGGAAAAATATGCCTAGGATAGCGATTTTCTTTTAGCTGTCTCATTATTGCAAAATCCAATTTAGTAAATCAAAAGTTGTGGATTAAATCCATTGTAAACAAGAATTTAAGTAGTAGGAAGTTTTACAAAGTTTAATGTTATAAATTTATTTTTATGGAAGTAGAAAATGAAAACTGATAAAGTGTTGGAAATATTTTGGTAAAAGTTATCTAAACTGGTACTGTGTGTATTGTTTAGAATGCACTTACCGCTTTTAGTGACTTATTTTTTTCTTCCTAAAAAGAAATCGAGTGAAACTTGGCAGCCATAGTAAATCACTCTCAAAAGTCGGAAAGACTTAGTTCACGCAGCACTTGCTTAAAGCGATCACTTTTGCCATTCATTTCGCAAGGGCGGATCTGGGGGGACCGAGGGGATTCTAACGATTGTCAAACTTTCTAAATGACAACTACGAACCCCCTTGAATGTAGAAGGTTTTTTTTTGGTTTGCCAAACTACAGTCCTTGCATTGAGGTGATCGGCCAAGACCGACTAAATTCTAAATGCAAGTCCTACATTTATATTTTCTGTTGTCTGTCTGTCTTAGAGTGGTTTTCATAAACCCGTGAAATACACACTAGCCTAATATAAATTAGTAGACCCCAATTCCATTGTGTTCTTTGGTTGTCATTTCACTATTGTTTCACGGGTTTATGAAAATCTCTCTTCTTCACTGTTTCTAAGTTTAAATGTTTAAACGTATTTTCAATGTTTTGCTCAAACTGTCAGTGATGGTATGTAACAGTCACACCATTATTGTTCATTGGTCATGGTAGTTATCCTTGAAGAATATCCTTCGTTACCAGAAAACAACTATTTCGATTGGGCGTACGTTAAACAAGAAATACAGTGTTCAGTATAAGGAACACTAAAAAAAAAACAAAAAAAACAAAAAAACACTGGACCAAAGACTAAAAAAAAAAATAAAATCGGTTCTCCACTTTTTAAATACTCTGTCGAGAAAGTTTCATACAATTGCCATACTTAGACAGTATTATAGAGCTCTTGTCGTTAAGAACCACAACAGCGGCCATGTTTACGGTGAAATCTGATTTGCGAATTCAGGCGTCATTCAAAAAACTTTATTGCTTAGTTGGATTTGCTTTATTTCTAAAACAAAGTGCTTTAAAAACAAAAAAAGTAAAATAGACTGATATCGTATATCTGAGGTTTGCACGAGCTATCAAACAAGGTTCAGTGTCACGTGACGTGACTAAATTCCTCTGGACCTGTTGGACATCCGTTTCCTGGTCATAGTAGACCTAATTATGACGATTCTTTTAGGCTTCGAGAATGTGTTTTTATGCCTTTGTTGGATTTGCTAATATGATAAAGCCAAGTGTTTGCAAAACAAAAAGTAATATAGACTCGTGAATTATCGTATATAAGTTTGCTTGTATCAAAGAAGGTTCGTTGCTTGAGATTCGGTGTCACGCGACTAGATTCCTCTGGACTGCTCGTTTCCTGGCCATAGCAGACCAAATGACGACGATTTTCTTAGGCTTCAAGAATAGGTTAACGAGAGGACCTTTTTTGTGGCTCAATACTTTCTGGTTCCAGGTTTTAGAGCTCGATAAACCGAACTTCTTATTTTACTCTAGAAGAAACGTCACCATTCATCAAATATCCTCGAGATCTGCATGCACAAGCTGTACTGACCTAATGGAAAGCAATTTATTTCGATAAATGATAAAGATTACTAAAAGACCTAGATTGCAATGACCATGTTACAAAATTGTCTAGTTTGATTTTGAGTGACTTTGTATAAAAACGACTTTCAAATTCCCCTTGAGAAACTCCATATTTTTGATGAAACTTAATCTCGGATGCACACAATACTGCGTAACTTGTTTAATACAAGCCCTTGACTTAGACTAATGGACTTCTGCAGGTATTAAAATCTTGTTCTTGATTATTTTCATGTCAGATTGGAAACGAGATACGGAACTTTGAATGCCGTCCTTTGGCTGAGAATGCATTGTGTCCTGTTTTAACATCATTTGGACTACATCTGTTGTGTAACGTTTTGATCTCACCCTCCTTCACAGTAGGATCCTTAGGAATAGAGGGGCAGGTGCACCGCTATGCAAAAGAAAATTCTGCTTCACAGTGTCCCTTAAGCCTTCCATGGAAAAGCAACTCAGCTTCAGTTTCAAAGTTTATTGTCTTCAACATCCTGTAGCATACAATGCAAAAGTAAGGTCTAAGGCAGCCGTGTTCTGTTACGTGATGGTGAGCTTGGTCCTGCAAAGATGAAAATGACCCAGGACAGCCAGTGACTACCAGACAAGGCAGTTTCTCGTAGCCATAGAGAAAGTGAGACGTATAGTTCGCAGAATCATACGTACTCTCACAAGCATGGGTTTTGCCAACGTATCTGGTCCTTTGAACCTTGGCCATGTCTTTTGCTCTGTCTCTATGGGAACAGTACGTCACAACACAGTTATTCAGGCACAACAAGCACTCGTTCGCCTCCTTACTTTTCTCGCAGTCCTGTTGAACCCAACTTTATGTTTACCCGAACTTGTCAAACATTCTTCGAAATAGCCACAAAATTTGTCGTCGTGTTGTTTCAAGCCTTTCTTCGTGGCAAAGATCATCCGGCATTTGATACACTTGTGGGAAAACTCATCTAAGATATGAACATTTTCCAAATGAATAAGCTTGTAATCCACCTCTTTTGAGGTCAGGAGGTCCATTAATTTGACAAAACATTTTCTAGGTTCCGTGGAAACCAAGACCACATCTTTTTCCTCTACAATACTGCATCTAGGATTTTGCCAAGTTAAACGTCGTACCACTGGCTCCCATTTGGCATCTTTTAGTGCTACTACTACAGCATTCCTCGGGACATGAAGAGATCGAAACTGAGGAAGGAGCTTAGCCGGAATTTCTTTGCTACTGTAAACAATATAAATGTGCACGTTGTATTGGACTTGTGGAGTCAGCGTAACATTTTCCAAGAACGTTTCGCCGTTAGAATTCCAATCTAGAAAGTAATACCTGTGTCGCATTTTCTTATCAATTCCAAATTTTCGTGTCAGCAAAGTTCTCGCCGGGCCGAGACTAACAGGACCAAGCAAACCAAGATGTGCCCCGGCGTCTTCAGCATGTAGTCTAGTGGTTACTAATTAACACATGTTGCTAAGTTCATCGCTTACCTGTCAATGAATAATTCCTTTTCCAAACAATAGACAGCTGCGTGACATTGCTTGGTTGTCACGGTATTGATTGGCAATCGCTTGTGGTTTGGTGATCATTATCTTGCCCACATCAAGTGCAAAAATATGAAATGACAAGAATACGTTTTGAACCTCTTTATATGAAAGATGCGCGCTACTTTACAAAGCCGTTCTATTTAAGACTTTCAGTGTAACAAATTAGACTTGTGAAACTTATTACAATTATAATTTTTTTTTTTTTTTTTGTTTTTTGTTTGGCACAAAAGAGTAGAAAATTCCACATTTCACTCGCGTGCAACTGGGACTTTAATCGGCTCGAGGCAATTGTCAAAAAACCCTTAGTGTGTTACAATATTTTCGTGAAACTTGTTTCGCCAACGCAGGAGCTAAAATTTTACAGTGTTCACTGCCAGCTCCTTAAAAAATCTGTCAAATAATCAATTGCGAGGCTGGAAGATGAGAATTTTCGAAAAGGCGCACTTTTTTGGTAAATTCAGGCAAACTGAAACTCTTTTGAAACTTATTTTTATCGTCTACATTGTCGTATGTACGTGCAGGGTTTACTAATGAAATTTTGTTGTTGTGGGTTTTGCGGGATTCTATACGTATGACCCCAATTGTCATTTGCCATCATGATAAAGCATCCAAGCCAAAAATAGCTGGTACAATTGTAAAACCTATTTAAAAAAATAATATTCTTACAAGAAAAAAGAAATTCATAAACATTGYTTTTTTTACGATTTATTGCCTTTTTTCATACTGATTTCCAGAAATTCACAAAAATTCCACATGACTATCAAGAAAATTTTTTTTAAATGCTTATCATGGACGAATCTTCCAAGGGAATTAAAGAGAAAGAAAAGAATTTTGTGCATGAACTTGCTTTGAAAAATGTTATTAACTTGTGTTGGTAAAAGCCGGGAAATATTCATGGCTCAGTAAAAAACTTATTTTTCAATAAAACTTGCTATTTTATTATCCACAAATCGTTTCAAAGTCATACATCTGCTAGTTCTCCTTTTCGCGTTTGCACAATGCATAACTTTCATAGATTTCCGTCTTTGCGTCTTTAAATTCTGCATACGGAATTTTTATATTTCTAGTTTTCTAGGCAGCCAAACCTTTGTGCGCCATTTGATTGTTCGCTTGTTCATTTCTGGTAGTATTCCCGTTTGTTTTTTTGTTTTTTTGTTTTTGTTTTTTTTCTTGGAGGTTTTTTTTTTCCTTTTTGCCCTGGTAGTTACTGCAGACTGTACAGAATAGTAACTTATGTTTCAGATACATGTTAAGCCAATCTTCACCGATCTTCGTATGTTTCGTAATGAGGCTAAGGTTGTACGTAATGCAGTTCAGTTCTTCAAGACAATTCTTCAAGCTATCTAGAGGGATAACTTGTTTGCGTTACCCGATAGTGCGATCCCTATCGGAATTTGCGCAAATGAGAACTCCTGATCCGTGTGTTTTTCTTCCTCGACATGATCTAGAAGTTTCTCTGCAGTCTTACAACATACTAAGTAGTTATTCTTATAGCAAGCCATGCAGTAATATGGATAAGTCGAACCATGGACCTGCTTGTGATGGAATGCTTGATGCTCAATGTTGGGGAAACGTTCTTCACATGCGGGATCCTCGAGGCATGGTAAAGGGAGGTTGCTATAGAAATGTTCCATGTAATCGTCAGACGTTTCAAAGAATTCCTCACAGGGACAGTCACATTTTTTATGTACCTTTTTCAAGTGTTCTTCCAGCTGTTTTTCAGTGCAGTATGTCTTGTCAGGGCAGAATTCACAGCGTCTCTGACCTTTCAAATGCTCCACGAGTTCTTTTTTCAAAAAGAAACCATTTTGCCTCTTGCTTTTCTCGCATCGCGGATTTGTACACAGGAAGTTGTGATGATGCAAATCATGGTTTGTTGCCTCACCTTTTGTCTTGAAAATAATTTTACATTGACCACAAGTATAAGGGAAAACATCCAATAAAGTCTTCTCACCAACATGCAAAGTCTTGATGGGTATCTTGTTGTATTTTAGTATGGCTTCGAGTTCCTCATATCGTGCTTCATCTCCACAAACAACATGAGACTTGTATTTTGTATGAACATGTGGATGTTGCCATATCTTGCACTTTGAATCTGTGCAATGGCAGGCAAGATGCGTATAAAAATGAAGTACATATGTAATGAGTGCTGTCCATGAAGCTTCAGCAGAGGATGTCAGGGTTGGATGTATCACTATCCATTCATAGTTTGGTGGAAGGTCTTCCTTAGGTGTCTTCTTGTTGCAGAAGACATGCACTTTGATATCTCTCTGTGTTGTGGTGAACTTGATTCCTTTGAGGAAATCTTTACTCGTAGTTTCCCAGTCTACGAAATAAACGTTTGTTGTCCTGATACTGCACATAGCTGTCTCAATATTCAATTCAACCGGGATTACACTTGTCTTCAGAAAAGGCTCTGTCTTGAGAAAGAAAGAATTAGTTAACCAATATATTTAGCCATAGCTTCATAGCACTAGTAATGAAAAGAAAAGAAAAACAATTGAAAGAAAAAGGTCCCAACTTCCTTGTTCTTTAAAATGAGGAAATAGTGTCATGTACGCTGTTGTGAAACGTTGCTATGATACAACATAAATAGCGTTTTCTAATGGTTTTACGCATTAAAATTTAAAGAAATTCTTGAGAAATATGATTATCACGATTTTTCTTTGTATTCAAAACATTTTTTCTCGAATCCTCTGTCGGGTATACGCCGATTTTTTTGCCCACTGTTTACATCACTAGCATTAAATGTTTATTATTTTGGCGCCCATGCTTTACTTATACTACGCTTCCCACTACAAGAATCCTCGCCTTGAACCGATACACAGTAAACAAACAAACTGTTATGTTTCCATTTGTATTTTCAGAAACATAACAGTTCCGGCTTTGATTTCCTATTCGCCTTTGTTGCACCTATTCACCGTCGCATGTAATATCAATGGAGCTACATATATGCATGATAAATTTGTTTAGATGTACTAGAATTTTAAAGAGAAACTCGGAAACTACGCATACAATATCTGATGGCCAGTATCATGGTATTTATCATATAATATGCCATGAGATGTTACATACATTGATGAAACGTCTAGCCTTGCTATGTATAATTTAGAGCATGCTTTAAAAATGTATATATTCAGGAATATATAAGACCATGTTATGGGAGAGTTTCCTAGGCGAAGCCGGTATACTTGACAATGACTTGAAACGAAACATGTCAGGAATTTTATCTGTTATTTTTGAATGTTCAGTTTTGATTTGCTGTTGTTTTAGCTTAACCGGCATCAAAGAGCACGAGCCGTTGTCATAGTGATGACTTAAGTGACATTACTTGTTTTCCCTCCCCATATCAACGCTGATTCATTTGATACTGGGTTGCCTTTGTTGTCCAGCCAAAAGCCGGCGACATTGTATGGGAGAGGGGGAGGGGTAGCAGCACATACCATTCTTGATACTAAAGATCTCACTACTCGCAAGTTTGAACTTACGAAGAAATATTCTCAGTAGACGAATTTCTTACTTTTTCCAGGATTTTACGTTTGACTTATTTCTTTAAAGTTTTAAAACTGTCAAAAGCCCAACTATGCATTTATATATAACTTGTGTCCAACTGTCAACAATCAGGATTTGCTGCGCGGGCTATATATATACTACTAGGAAGTTAACTTTCAATATCTTAAACTTTATGAAATTTGTCTTTCACTTGTAATTATGAGAGCTTTATATCTGCGAGAGTCGCTAAGATCGCAATTGCATTTCCTGCACCGGCTAATTTCATTCATTCATCCATCCATCCATCCATCCATCCATCCATCCATCCATCCATCCATCCATCCATCCATCCATCCATCCATCCATCCATTTTATTCATTCATTCATTCNCTCTCTCTCTCTTTTTCTTTCTTTCTTTCTTTCGCTTTTCTCTCTCTTTCTTTCTTTCTTTCTTTCTTTCTTTCTTTCGCTTTTCTCTCTCTCTCCTCTCACCCACACAGACAGTTTTCCTTTCTATCTTTCTTTTTGGTATTCACCCGTTCACCAATCAAAAACGGTCTTCCAAGACCACACTAGTTTCGCGTCAACTTTTGAATTCACAAGAAATTCTTCTATTGCTCACTTAGACCGTTAAAACAACGTCTACCACGCAAATGAGCTTCAATAGACTCTGTGTGCAATCCAGTTGTAGATCAAAAGGCCTTTTAAAATGAAATATCATAAAGCTAATCAAGAAGTAAACAGCCCCCATGAAGGTCGTTAATATTCATTGGTCTGGAAAAACGGAAAAGCTGATTTCTATGAAATGCTAATGCATATCGTGTATTTCATTTATTTGAATGTCTAAGTTACAGTACTTTATTCTATATGCAATACTATAAACACTTGAAGCATCTAAATGTATTTTGTGATATTATACGGACGTGCACTTCTTTATTATAGTCATCGTATTTAATGAGTCATTTCACCGAAGTTTGTACCTCTAATAAACAACTTCAGTGAACAATTTTATTGATATATATTAGGAATATAAAACGGCGCGCGTGTCTATAAACTGTGATATAAACACGATGGGAGCTGTAGAGCAAGAGAGAAGTCGTAGAGAAAAACGAGGCGTAGGCGAGTGTTTCTTTGACTTCTCGAGTGCTCTACAGCTCCCAAAGTGTTTATATCACAGTATATAGACACAAGTGGACGTTTTATATCGCTTTTATAAAATATTTTTTGAATGATTTCGCGCAAGCGTGTCTCTGTCCTCTGATATAAACACGGTAGACAGCCAATCAGTGCGCGCGTTATATCTCAAATATTTTATAGATAATAATATAAATGGATTCAGGGAATGAAAACAGATAGAAAAGATAGATAGATACATTCAGATGGAATTTCGACGCCTTTGAGGGAAGAATGAAAGGAAAGAATGAGTAATATGATGTGACTATATTTTTTTTCTTGTTGCGGATGGAAAAAAAGACGCAAAATCTTGATTTCTTTGCATGCAATAAATGAGTGATAAATTTATAATTTTTTCAGTACCTTTAACTTCCCTCTGCAATAGTTTTTTTTCAGTTACTCATTAACTCGAAGCTGTTAAATTGAGCTTTTATTCAAAATAAACACAGTTACAATGCCAATTACTCCATGTAGATTAGTCAAATGCTACAGTCTTGATGGGGTGAAGGAGTTTCAATTATCTAGTTTGTGCATAATGGCAGACTTGTGTTCGCCTTCAGAATTAAAGTCGTAAGCCGATAATGTTACGCGTTCTTATATAGTCAATCCCTTAAATCTCTCAAGTTTATTCGCGAAGCTTTTACGCGTTCATGTTAAGGCAGAGATCTTAGGTAGTAATCTTCTCGTATATTCTTAATGCTTTAAAGCCGCGAAAAGCAAGCCTGCTATCATTGAAGTACCATCGGTCGATTTTTGAGAGACTAACTGATTATCAATTTAATACTTCGTAGTTCGACTCGTTTTGTGATTCGTATATATGGAGCTAAATATTTCGTCAGAAGAGGGATTAGTGAGACAACTACAGCTTTGATAGACAAACAGTTCAAATCCTTTGTTACATTAATTCTGTTGAACTAGTGTCCGAGCTGGCGATTGCCTGAAATGTTCCTCAAATTCCACCAAAAAAGTGAATTCGAAATATGATAGATCAAAGTTTAGGTGTGAAGATATAAAAAATAAGACACTTCTTTTTATTTTTGTCCGTTAAACCAGCCGCTCTGAGTTAGCGAACTTGATTCTCACGGTTTTTAGTAGCATAATTTACTTTACTTCACTGATGAGCGAGTTAAACAAACAGAGCCCACGGCACCTGCGACACTCGTGAAAGGCAAAATCACCGCTAACGTCATTGAGCAGTTCTGAATTTAGACCACAAAAAGATCCGAAAACCAATCATTGTGTTTTTCGATTCAATCTCCGACTTTTACATCCCCTTTTTTCCTAAGTTCCTGATTCTCTTTTTGTCAGTTTGTTCAATAAGGTGGTGAAATTTAAAGAGAAAAAGCAAACTGATGGAAAGAAAATCTTCACTAATTATGTGTGCTTGTTTAAGTGGATCCACATTACCACTGCTCTTAAGTCGCGAAGTTTAATAGCAGCTTTTTACCTAGTCGCCTATTTCCTTTAGTAGATCGAAACTCAACTACGGTCTAATTCCGGCCATCAAGTCTAATCACACTGGTCGTTTTGTTTACCGCATGAATTTCCAACCGCAAAATGAGCAGTGAACTACAATTTGCCGTCACGCAGGGAATTAAAGAAGAAAAAGCGGGTTGAGCACAAGTCAAAACAATCGTCGGTGTCCACTTATTTTTGCTTCAAGATGGCCATTTTCAGCTCTCAAAGCTTCTCAACGGGGAACCGTAGACCATTAGCAAACAATCATTATTGCCTAGTTCTGATTACTGTAGTTTTAAGCCGATACTCGAGGCGAATACAGTACACTACAAAATCAATCCTGTAAAGACTTTTGACCTGGTTTTCGTTCCACCTAGTCTCAAAACGATAACAGTCCAGCCCTGTCCTTTGAAAATTCATCGGCAGAGAAGAGAATGGTTTAAGACAAACCGCGTTTGAGTCCAAACGGCCTTACAGATTCTGGCGTAATCACTGAGATATGTCTTTTGTTAGAAAGTCATTGAGGGTTCTGGTTATCGCATTTAACATTCTCACTGCCTTCACAAGAGATAAACACGGCCAAAGCTTTATCGTTTGTCGGAAGTAATCTCTCCATAAACTACCTATTCATAGGATAGTCTTTTGTTTTATTCAAAAAGTTATCCTGAAAGAGTAAAGCGAACGAGTGGAGCTATCGAGTGTTCAACTACCGAGATGGATCTATTTAATTTGTTCACTCTCGCCTTTTTCTTTTATGTACGAAAAATATTTCCTCCCATTTTAGCCGAAGAATCGTGCTCATTAGGAAATAACAGGATCTCACAACCTCATCAATGGAGTTTATTTTTCAATGCACTCGCATAATAGCTATTTGTGGTCATTTTAGTCCGTTACAACCTCCTAATTCTGCGTCTGAGAGAGATGTGCTGTTTGGCCTTTGTTGAGGTGTGTGAGTTTGGTTGACCAGGGGTAAATAGATGGTTATTAAATTGCTATTACTGGGCATTTGCGCGCTTTGTTCCTACCAATAAAAGCATCTGTTACCTTCCCAGGCTATAATTGATTCCCTATGATTTCTCATTTGTTCATTGGGGGGGCTTCAGCGCCATTCCACGAGAGATGGGGATTTCAAAAGCTCACTGGCGCCCTCGCAATAAATCGATTGAGACATTTAGGGCGCCAAACCGAAGCCCCAAAATATTTCCAAACAAGCGCCGATTCTAGATCCCCTGACCGCTTTCCAGCCACCATACTGTACTCACAAATGCCCTGAATGCCGAGCAAATATCTTCAGCGGATTATTCAAAGTTAATATGAGTTTGTATCGATATTTATCTTGGGTTCAATCTTGGTAAATATCGCGATTGTCCGTTTTGGATATTTGGGATGAACTCACGTGACTTGACAATTGTGCTCTGTTTGTCTAGTTTCCAGGTGAAAGGCGGGCACATATGGGATGGAACAGAACGGTTCTCACCATTGTTGGTTCATCGGAAACTGCAGAAAAACGGCCGTCATGTTACTAGGAACATTAATCTGAGTGAGTACACTCCTGCTAGCACAGTAGGCCGTGTGACCTTAAACAACTCGAATCGCAGCAACCGACTCTTCACTTCATACGGAGGTTAGTCATTTACATTCCTAATGTTTTCAAAACTATTTGCAACAAAAATGTATAGAAATATTAACATTCCACTGTGATCGAAAAATCTACCTCTTGCAATTTTTCTTGTGAAATTGCATCAAAATATTAATTTTAAAATTAAACGAAAAAATATATGTCGTGAAGAAGTGATTAATTCTTGCTGGGAAAATAGATACCCAATAGTCGTGAAGAAGGTAAAATTTCTGAAAAATTTGGACAACGGAAATTGAAGCTTTGAGAAAAGTCCTAAGATTTGAAGAACTTAAGCAAAGAAATAAAATAACAAGTGCACGGATTAAGTCCCGTTGCTTAGCGTTAGCCAGCCCAAGTATTTACAAAAATGTCTTCTAAATGAGCATTAAATGTGTTTGTAAAGCTAAGGCAATAACTTGTACATTAGTCAGTACTTACTTGTAATTAACCATAGTTCAAGACTTTAAGTTTTGTCCGCCTTGGCTGGTTTTTAAAATGAAGGCAGGAACTTGTGTTTCCACATGACTTTGACTACTTGATCGTCGTGCGGGCCTCATGAGCGCTCTGTAATCTTTACTCGTACCAGCCACAAGCTACAAACGACAAAATGAGTCCGGTTCCACTTACAAATGAGCAAGAGACGAGAGGTCATTTTTCAAAAAGTGACGGGCAAAACGTAACGATGATCAGTAAATCCTTCGATTGAGTACCTTAAAAAATTGTCGCGCGCATTCCCAGATAAAACGCATACTCTTAGCACATATTGATAAAAAAAGTCTTTTACATATTGAATATATATTTTTTTCCTTCCTCCATTCTGTTTACCAGCCAAAATAAAAATACTTTTACGGACTACCATAGACGATGGGCAGTTTAATAGAGGGCAACACCTATTTATTTATTACATAGTAATCATTAGTCGATACGTGGCGTGGGGGATCGGTCTTGTTGTTAAAAGATATTATTCTGGCATCTTCTGTTTCAAACTGTGAATAATACATGTTTACAACTCGAAAGAGGTCAGTTTATACCATGAAGCAAATTCAAGTCAAACTGCACGTATTTGAGACCGTCAACCAAGTAGACTATCATTCTGTAAGTGAAATATTTTAAGTAAGTAATATATTTTTGAAAAATATTTTTCTCAGTTTTGAATTCAAAAAGCATTCCATTCTTTAATAAAGCAGTTTAAATCAAAGTCAAAATCATTGCGATTTTTGGGTTTTCCGTGTCCTTTCACAGTATGTTGCCTTCCCCCTTTTTTGAGATGGATAAGTTCCGCTTGTCCTTACGTTTTCGAAAAGGGTTGTCCCTTTTTTCCCCCAGAGGGAATGATAGTGACGCGATTTAATAAGAACTCGATGATCTTTCTTAATACAAGCCATGCCCATGAAACAACCAGCACCTTATTAAATATGAACTAGTAGCATAGACCTCGCAAGTGCTGGCTATGAATTCGATTTAAATATTCATCAATTGAACATTGAAAAGGAAAACTTCAAAAACGGACAGACTGCTGCTTAGAACATGATTAAAACATTTTGAACGAAACTTTCGAACGCACGCATCATTTCAATTCGTTTATTCTTGCTCAAATTTGCCAAAGCAACTTTTTTTGTTATATATATTACTTCTTCTCCGTTAGTGTCCTATATTCTGCTATTTTCTTTTTCTTTTTCTTTTTCTTTTTCTTATCCTTCTTTCAGTTTCCCTTTTCATTGCTTAATTTTTCAGTCAGGTTTCTTAGAGTTTTCTGTTTTATCTGTCTATTTCCCCCCTTCTTTAAGTTATTTTCCCCCTTTTTTCTTCTTTATTTTCGGTTGGATATAGAGTCCTCACACCAACATTTAATCATTTCATTGCGTGAAAAACCGATACGCGGTGGCTAATCTGATGAGAGACATCCGTGGTTTGATACTTCACCCCAGCTTTCTTTAATGACTGCATGTCAAAGATATCTTCAACCGGACTCCAAATTACCTCCACGAACTCCAATACGCGCGAATGTCTTTACGTCCATCCAAACTGCTTACACTCAACCACCCTGATCCCTGAACGATAACACATTTAGGTATTAGCCTTGAGAATTTCACCATCTAAATATTCAAATATTGTATTAGGGACTAAAAGCCCTTATCGCTCATCAATACTGCACTTGTTTAATCATTACTGTGTACCTGGGTTAATTTCCGCTTCGTATACCAATTATGACCATTCTAGCTATCAACATTCTAGTGCGCATGTGCCCGCGCATGCGCCCGCATGAGTTTGGATTCTGTAGAGCTGTGGGGAGCGGCTTGAGCGTGGTAGCCAAGTGCTTTAGCGATAGGGGTTTTAAAGATTAACTCTTGGATGAGCCAAGAAGAGACTGGATTAGAAGGATAAAAGCATCAGTTATGTAGTTGAATTGTGATATAGTGTGCGAAAACGCCGGCTTGTCAGCTTGTCAACGCGGTCGGCTCTCTTGCTTGAAAAAGATTTAAGCGACTCTTTATTCCAATAGACTGCGTTAGTTTTATCATTACTAGATATTTACTTCCAGACTTAAAGCATTTTAATTTCACTTAGAATTCCCCGTTGGAATGAAAACACACATGGGGAATTGTTAAAAAAGAAAAAAATATCAACATATCAAGGAAGGAGGCTAAAAGTAATGTTTGATACATTACCACAAAAAAAGAGAAAAGATTTCTCAAGCAATTACCAAAAATACTGAATCTGCCTATTAGCATGAGTTGACTTCCTAAGTATACTTTTTCTTTATTCACAAGCAGGTTTTTTAAAGCCCAGGTTGTACGAATTTCATCAAATGAATAAAATCACACTCGTTCCAGCCGGTTTGTTTTGATTACTCCCCTTCAACATTTGGTCCTAATTGTCCAGTAATTTCATTTACTTATTCCTATCGGCTCACAGCAGGGAAAATGGTTCACTGCGTGCCCGATTTAATCTGATTCGAGATAACCAAATCTTCCTTGAATCTCTACAAAAGCAATTTCAATAAAAGTCTGGGAAAATGTAGAAGAAATGCCAGGCTCCCTAGATTGCTATCGCAATGTAACACGTATATTATCCATAGTACGCTATGAGAGATTAACTCTGAATAAAAGTAGGAAATTGCATCTATTTTTGAAGACTTGTTTTTTAATTCATTATGGGGACTTTACCTTGTTTTTTAATGATTATGGGGTCGTTGCCYGGTTGTTTTCGTTCAGGTAAAGCTTTTATTTTGGATAATTTTTTTCAACTTGACTTATTCCTTGAGGTTATAAGTAATTAGTTGGTACTTTCTTGTAAATAAATAAATGACTTCAATCCTCCGAATACTAAATAAACCTAAAAAATCATATAAACTTGTCAGTAAATCTTTAAATTATGGACGCCCTTTTGAGTTCGGGTGATTGTTAAATTAAATCTTTAAGTCTTTAACTCAACTTAAAAAAAAAAAAAAAATGGCACAAAAAATTTTCTTCGACTCGAAAAGTTTTCAACAATTCAAATTGCTAAATTTTTCGCTTTTTTAGTTCATTTATTTTTCGTTTTTCGTTACTATAATTTGAGGAGTTTCAAACCTCGTATATCAAAACACTTGTTGTTGTGATCTTTTTAGATTCCATGAAAGTATGGAAGACACTGAAACCGTTATAACGATAAAAGAAGAACAGCCCTCAACAGACAATGAAGAAAACAACGAAGAACAAGCTACAGAGAAACCCAAAACACCCGAACTTGAGTCTTCAAGTAAGACATAATTATTAGAATAAAGAAAAAAGTATCGTCTTTGTATTTATGATGTATCATTTTAGAAAATTCATTGATTTATTAGTATTTAGTAGTTATTTTTATTGGTCTTTTCTTGCCGATTCTCATACTGTGCTAATTTGTAGACCGGCACTGCTTTGATTTATTTGACTTCAAAACTCATTTTTTCAGACAAATATTTTTAATCCTAAAATTGTTTTAGCAAATTCATGAAATTTGATTTCATGCTCGCAACTGTGTTGAAAACAAAAGTGTAGTAGAGTGCATACGATGTATCCGTTAAAACAATGTAAGAAATTGCACAAATTTGAACAACTTAGAAAGCTTAGTAGACCTCAGTAGACCTTAGACCTACAAACCTTTGCACTAATTTGTACGATTTTGTAAATTTTTTTGCTAATTTTTCACGGATATAATATGGTGTGCACTCTAATAAAAGGAAGAACAATCAACAATTTTATATTTCCAGTTTGGATTTTGTCTTTAATCGGTCAGCAGCGGGCGAGTGATTTGTCAAACTTTCCGTTCATGACAAGTGTAATCACAAAACACTCGTAAAACACTAAAAGTTTTGCAGAAGAATACGCAGTTTTATTGCTGATCTTAGTAGCGACCATTTGTCTAATGTTTTTGTATACCCGGCTGCAAACTTCAATTTCGGCACATTTTGGCTCAAGTTTTTCGTAACCCGTCATGGAGCCATCAACTATCAAGTTTGTCAGTAGAAAACTGGCAAAAAGGCAACTCATTTATTCTTCCCTTCATGAGACAGAATATTAGTTTTAATAAACTATTCTACAGTCTTAAGGCAGAATTAAATTCTTCCTGCTTTGTCTGAAAACGCTGTCTTTTTAAACCGATACATGCACGAACTGGAATTTGTCGCATTGTACAATATTTTCCATTTTGCTTCTTATTCATTAAGCTATTTACTTGAAGCCAAGTCTTTGGCTCTCTTTATTTATTTATCGTTTGTTTTTTGTTTTAGAGCCAATTCATATCAACGGTGGAGAGATACTAAACAAGTTTAATCATGCTCTTGCATCAATTATTACCACTTCTGACAGGTACAGTCTTATTTGTACTGTTTTCTCTTTTTATCATCTTCCTTTTCGTATTTCTGTAGCTACTTAAGGTCTAACTAGCTAGAAAACATTTCTCTGATTTTCTTTCTTTTTCCTATTCTAATCCTGTTCTCTATCCTTTGCTGTCCTTTCCTTTCCTTTCCTTTCCTTTCCTTTCCTTTCCTTTCCTTTCNCTTTCCTTTCCTTTCCTTTCCTTTCCTTTCCTTTCCTTTCCTTCCTTTCTTCCTTTCCTTTTCTTTTTAGGTGCTATGCCTTGCTTTTTCTGTTCCTTTCCTGGCTCTCTGTCACCTGCTTCCTTTCTGTCTTTCTTTTGTCTTTCTCCTTTTCTTTTCCTCATTCCTTCCTATCCTTTCAACAACTCTACATTCTGTTTAAGTTACGGCCGTCTCTATCCAGCCGAGCCTTAAGTCACACTAGCAGGTCAGCCTGAACTATCTATAGCTTCGGGCTCTTTTGATAATTACTCCCTTGCTTCATAATGATAACTGATAAGTACATACTTCACAGCTTACTCGGTAACAGAGAACCAGAAACAGGTCAATATTTATTATTAGCCACAAGCCCTTTTACAATACCCTTGCTTTACACAATAACAGAAAAATTGATAAGAAATTGTCGGTTAGTTAAGAAAGGATAGCAGAAACGGCTTTGATAATTAGCCCGAGTTGATGGATAATTGCTTTCCTTTGTTTATTGATAACAAAGTTGATTCAACCGGTTTGCAGTTAAAGTTAAAGCGCATGCGCAGCGTCATTTTGTTTTTAGATTGTTGTTGTATGTTATTCGCTACGTTGGGCAATCACTAGAGTAGTGCTCAATGTAGGCAACAGCCTGTTAAAATATAATCGAACTAGAGAATTTAGCCTTTTTTTTCCTGAGAAAGGAAGAACGCCGGCAAAGAAATCTTCAATAACGACAGGAAAAAACCAACAAGCAACTCTAAATTTGCGATAATGGGTATCTTGGAATGAAATCCCGTGACTACACTTGTACTACTATTGAAAAGTCCTTTTCTGAGATAGCGAATATGGTGCATTGTGGTCTAGCTTCGGTACAAATATCTTTAGTTCATCATACCTTATATGGTGTTGTTTGTACCAAAGCTAGACCACAATGCATCCTGATAATATAACTCAGAAAAGGCCTATGGTACTAATAACTGAAGAGCCATTTCATTTATTTATTTACAATAATGTTTAAACAGGCGAAAAACTGATATATATTTTTGGGGGTTTATACCATTAAGTTTTATTGGCCTTCGCAGAAGATGAATTGGCTAAAGCCTATCTTTCTGAGCAAAGGTACAACCAAATATTTCATAGTGTTGGTATTATTTCTTAAGTGTAGCCCGGTTTTTTTCCCTTCTTTTTTCCTTTTTCTATCTTAATATGTAAAGATGCTAAAGCTATAAGAAATGCTAAATCAAATCGTTGTTCACAGGTTATCAAATAATGATGACAGCAGCAATACTATTGTTACCAGTCTTCCTCCTTTGATTCACAAGTCCGCAAGATTGGTGTAAGTTGAAGCATAAGTATTAGTTATAATGTAGGCACCTCATCTATTACAAAAGAGCCGATTGTTGGCGACCAATGACGACATAGGGGAGGAGATATAAGAGATACCTGTTTTAACAAGGCCAAAGCGGATTACGCGTCAGTATGTTCAATCGTTTAAATCAATTTTTTTTCAGTAGTATACCAGTTAGTAACCCTTTTGGATGCTGATATTCGAATTATAGGTGTATTGTTCCCTCAACAACAACACAAAACAGCTATGTAAGCCGGTATAAGAAATGGACTTACGTGACACTTTATCTCGATGGAATTTGTGGCATTTCTTTTGTTTTCCCTATTAGCCTCGCATCCAAGTACTTCCCATGTACCATTTCGGTCTCACCTACGTTCTATGTTTTTAACACCACATTAATTTTACAATTGAGTGTATATTGAATGTATATTGATCAGTTATTTTTAAGTGTGCTTCCTGCTCCATTCATTTCTATACCATCATTATTTATTGGAAAATTTCTTGATTCATTTAGCTCTTCCATTTGGTTTCCCGACAACTCAGTCCGGAGTCCTATTTACCACTCTTCTTATGACTACCCCTGCATTCACGAGCGGTCAGTGGACGCCGCATTAGGGCATGCGCAAATCCAAGAGGCGGGTTCTTCACAACAAGTAAGTGTTTCAAAATGGGTTGAACTATTTCTTACTAATTAGAAATTATTGGTAATCATAAATAGAGTATATCTGATATGCTCATACCAATTGCGTAACTATTATTGCATGATCAGTTTTTTCATGTAGGAGGATTTTTCTACAGTTGTCACGCTTATTCTTTCTAAGAATAATCACGACTAAATCCAAACAGTTTTCAGTGGAACCAAGTCCTATCCCCTCTTCAGTTTTCATTCAGTTTCCTCGTAAGCAAAGAAGCCTATTAAATGAAATGACCGTATGTATTATAATTCCATTTTACAGCCAGTCGAGGAGTACGACGAATTTAACGAGTGGGTTGATGGTTCTTGCAAGTTTCGGTATTCACTGTATAGTCGCGAAGCTCAAGCTCACATATCAGGGTGGGCCATGAAATACACCAACAACCACAACAAATATGTCCTCAAGAAAACTTGTGTCGGGGTTCTTCTCTGTAGCAAGGATTGTACTTTACCAAATGGACTGAAAATTGTGGTACGGCCTGCCATATCCGATAAAGGTACGCACAGATTATGGTCTTTTTTTTGTTCCCATAACCAACGCTCTCCGCCAAGGGAAGAAGGGCTTTTTGTGATTCCAAAAAGCGGAAAGTCGTTTTCGATTCTTAGATTCCTTAAAAGCCTGGGGAATGACGAAACAAAATGGAAGTTTGGCTCTGGGAACCTATATAACATGTATATGCACCTTTCATGCGTACTAGCTTTAAATGATTGATCTTACAACTGCATTTTTTGTTGTAGATGCGTCCATATGTTAAGTTTTTTTCAAACATTTTGATGTCACTTGGAATAGGGGAGGAATACAAATTTACGCCATATTTCATACTCCTTTGTCATCTTATTTTATATTTCATTTACTCCACAGTCAGAGAAAGGCAGATTGGTCAGTCCTGCCCAAATGCGTCTTGCAATGGCGTTCTGTCACATAGAAAATGTACAGGTAAGGATCCTTTTTTTTGTCCCATCCCTTCGGAAAATAAATGTATTATTCACATGTAACGCTATATAAAACAATTCATTGTCACGCAGGTAATAATGGTTATCCCGTCACACACTTCTGGGTACATCAAGATGATGGGATTTACTTTGAATCAAAAGGAACGCATGACCACTTTAGACCACAAGCTCGCAGGGCTACACCTGACAGGAACCATAATCGAGGACGTACACTAAGCCCAAAGCAAGAAGGGACCTCTTTAGAAGAAACAGAAAATGCAGAAAATAAGGCAAGGAAATTGTGCATAATTTGGAGGAAAAAAGAAAAGTATTTTTTCTGGATTCTTTGGCAGGCGCTTCATATTTTCCATAACACCAGCGCTGTAGTGGATAGGAACTTTTGTGAATTCCCCTTCTTAGTTCCCTTGTTTGATTGGACCAAGAAAGGTTTTGCATATTAATCATTGTTCGAGCCTAAATTACTAAGCTGACGTTTTTCAAAAGATTAATTGACCAGGTTTTGGTCAGATAGTATGTTGTTCAGCAAATGTTTTCCGGGTTGATAGGATTAAAACACTGGAACACTCTTCATGGAAACCTACAGACTTACCCCATGTAGACCTCTCTTGTCTACCGCGATAGCTTTTTATTCTAGGAAACCTATTAAATGGCTTTTTTTTTTATCAATCATCTATCATCATGATTTTTCATTTTTAAAATTTATAATTATTCTTTAGGAATCTAAGCCAGCAAAATCAACCGAAACCTCCAAACGAGGGCGCAAGCGAAAACTTCATCAAGATCATCAACTCTCGCTGTCCAAAATCTTAACCACTCACTCGGCAATCAACCACACCTTACGAACTGAGGTGCTGCGTGGATTTTCCATGGAAGAAGAAGAACAATATGTATGCGTTACCCTACCGGAGAGTGAACATCTTATTCAGAGAGCCGTGTTATCACACGATCAATCATCTATTGCTTCTTATGGCAGACTCTATCTGTTATGTCAAACATTTATAGACATTGTTCCTGGATTCAACCTACTTGAGACTCGAATGATTTCCCACGAAGTTGTTGGGTGGCCTGTTGTTATGGCAACTCTTTACCGACAAGGTACTCGAGAAGGAATTGTGCAACACATGAAGACATTAGCACGATTGTGTTCTTCGCCAAGAGAAGAGATTTTCTCACCAAAGGTACGTTTTATTCTTTGGGTTTGTGGATGATGCTTCACGCGTGCGAAACATCATCCACGGCGTTTGCTCTGCTTTTCCTCCTTCGCTGGCGACTACAGTGATATAGGAATACAGAAAGCTGACTGCATATTGGCTCCACTAACCCCCTATAAACCAAAACGTCTGACTGTCTTAAAGAAAATTATTTTTAAATTCAAATTCAAATTCAAACATCTTAACTCCAGGCATATGCAGGACATGCTCTGGAACCTTTATTGTTTACAACTTTTATTGGGTATCAATCAGGAAGGAAAATTACAGAACCAACATGCTACCCAAAGAGGAAAGTGCGAACGGAGTCCCATGCTAGGCATTTCCTTTTGACTAACGATATAAATCAATAGAGAATGATCTTGGAAAATTAATACAGTTATAGTAGTAAAAACTGATAACTAGTGAACCGAGAACGGCCACAAAATAATCAATGGAGTTTAAAAAAACAAAAGTCCCTGAGGTTCAGTTATTATCGAATACGATGACAAGAACACTTACGAACTAATGACCAAGTACATGTCAGATCAACATCAAATGTGTCCTCAAGCAATGAAAAGTACCTATGCCTTAGAAACAATTTAAATTGAGAGTGACTAGAAAAAACACTAGTACGCTTGTTAATAATAATATAAATAACATTTAATACTTATATAGCGCATTTTGAACATTACCTTTGAAAGCGAAATAAAAGCGCATTTTTAACATTAGCCTTAACTTCCTTCACAGTGGCAAATGGTTATTCACGATTTTACACCAGAGCAAGCCCAGTTAGCCATCGAAGCAATTGTTAACATGATCATCAACTCTCAAGTACAGACATTACTACGAGTATTTCAATATAAGAGCGTCAGCTCACTATACAAGATGCTACGGGAAAAAGTAACTAGTAGTATTCAGGGTTTTCATTCTCACTTTGAACTTTGCAAAAGAGAAATTATCTCTCGGCTTCAGGATCCCGTCATGACGATGAAGTTTTGCGAGACCATGAAGAGACTGACGGATGAGAACTGCACCGTCCAGGAATATTTGAGCGCAGACTGTATGTTGTCAGGTAAGACACTGAGGGTAGACTAACTGAATAGGTCGTGAGCACCACTTAGGGCTACAAGTTTGTGTAATATATACAATATGAGCGGGAGATCTGTATGAGGATTTAAGAGAGCGAGCCGCAAGGGAGCAGTTTTAAACCTCATACAGATCTCACGCGAATATTGTATATTACTTTTAAAATGTCTAGATCAATGCTTATTTTTTAGAGTATAAATTTTAACATTAAATGTAATTTGGCCGAGATATTTCAAAGTCAACCTTAATTAGTATTACCATATTTAAGTAAAGTTATTACCAATATTATTCTTGGGGTGCGCGTAACGTCATAGAATGTGGGTCGATGATAACAAAGCATTCCTCATTAGCTTCTCTTGTTAGATCAACCAACATGGCGGCTGTTTCATTGTTATTTATATCTCGAGACTTTTTCAGTCATGTGGTGCACTCCATTCTTACTTGGCTTATTGATGTTTTAAAGAGGGTCCTCGAGGGAAAGGGGGGATGCTATTCCCATTTGTTTTACAAATTTTACACTTTATAACGTCCAAATCTTAAACTGCCCATTCCCATTTTGATGTTTTTCCATTTCAAGTGACCTAAATCCCATTCGTCCCAGGACAAAATAGCCAAATCCCAGTTCCCGTTTTATCCCTTCTAGGATCCTCTTTAAAGAGCAATATTTATAATTTCTTATCCATAATGTTTTAGGTTGTGCCTTGGGTTCAGTTATCAGAGAATTCTGGAACTTTTGGGGAAGTCCATTGGTGGGTTGTAAAGTCTTCCCAGTGGCCTCATCCATCGGAGCCTACCAAGAACGCATTGAGATTTGGAGGAAATCATTCTTAGGTATGTAGAAAATGCCCAGACTGAACTGAAAACGTTGACATCTGCCACGCGCTTTATTAGTAAAATTCTTGTTTCGTGAAGAAAATGCTTATTGGTAAACCAAATAATTAACAATTGTTCGCCGAAGGCGAAGTGAATGTTGGGGAATATTTACCGAGACGCGAGTCTTCGAGCGGCGAGGTAAATATTCTCCATATTCACTGAGCCTAACGTAAGCCTAAGTAAGCCTAACGTGAGCCTAAGTATTAGCGATGCAGCCATTTGTTGTTTTATCTGATCACATTATTAACTGTTGCTTCGTTATCTTTCCATCAGAAGTAGAATGGTGTGATAATCCACGTGATGTCACGTTACAGAACTTAAGTGACGTCGTGTTCCGCTGGATCAAATGTCAGAAGGACTTCTGGCCCAAAACAGGTAGGAAAAGATATAGAGGATATTACATGGGCGCGCGGAGATACGACATTTATCTTCGAGTGTTGAAAAGATCTTTCACAAGTGAGCGCAGCGAACGAGTGATAGATTTTCAACACGAGAAGATAAATTTCGTATCTCCAAGCGGCCATGTAATATTCTGTTTATTATATAATTATCAATGAAGTATGTTTTGGCTTTTTCAGGCAATTCTTTCCTTGTATTTTTGAATAGCCATCGCAATGGTGTTATTTTCACACGTGAAAATAACATGTTATTTTCACGTGTGAAGATATCAATTTTTCGAAGTAGAGAAAAATAGATATTTCATTGGTAATTATATAATAAAAATAAATATGAACATATATTACGACGGCAATTATTAGAGTAACCGAACTATTCCCCATTCAAGGTGGTTTTCAAAGTCATTTATACGAGTCTTTTTAAAGTCTTAAGCGTTAGAGCGTTTTTTTGTATAAGTGAGAAGCGATACAATAAAATCGTAGCCGTGCTTTAGCCTACCGTATCTTACCATTGCCTTAACAAAGCGTTGCGATTAAATTGTAAGGCATGCAATGGGAAGCCATTTCAATTTTACTGCATGCCTTACCGTGTACGTAAAACATGCCATATTTAAATCCAAACATTTTCAACAATTAATCCAGGAAATAGAATTGCGCCTACGTAAATATAATATATATATATATGAATCTAAAATATCTAAATGAATTAATAAATAACAAATAAAATCCAATAATACTAAAAAATAGTAAATTTAAAAAGTTTTAAAATCTTTTTGTCTCAAATTTCATATAAAACAGAAAGTTTAAATAATTTTTTTAATTTTTCTAACAGCTTATCAAGACTGTCGCGTGATGGACTTCACGGCTGTGCGACCTCCTCTCTTTGATGATCGGAGACTACATTTCGTACGTCACGGAGAAAGACTGGGATCTGCTTTTCACAGACCAATCAGCTATCGAGCCTTCTACATGCCCAGAATGCACTGGGTGTAGATCAATTTCCTGAATTAACATATTGCCACACAAATTCAATTGAGCAAAAGAAATAATCTCGTACCCAGAGCCAGAAGAATCGCAAAAATTGTTTTCTTAGCAATTCTCTGTCTTAATTCTAGTTTGTTGCAGAGAGAAAACAAGTGTTTTGCGGGGGGAGGAGTGGATCCGGTCTGTTGTAAAATTTGTCAATTATGCAAAATCTGCAAACCATGTAATATAAAAATTATGAACAGACGTTTTAAAATAACTGCGCTTGAAGATTAATAAAGAGACAGTAATTTTAATCTAAATTCAATTCAATTAAAAATGATTTAAATATATAAGGATCCATTAAAGTTTGCTTTAAGTCAACCACTTGGTATCGGTCCAGACTTCTTTCGGCCAAAACGCCATTGATGAAAGAAGGTCTGATCAAATATTTATATGATATCAACTGCGATTCTAAAATACAGTAAAACCCGCGTATAAGAACCTAAAATTTAAGAACCTGTTAGGCTAAAATTTCATTTTTAAGCACACTTCACATAAGAGCCATTTTAGGCTAAAATCCTAAAACAGGTTCTTATTTTTAGAAAATAAAAAAAATAAAAATAGAATCAATCTTTTCAAAAATGTATTTATAACACAGTCTGTACACAATAATGCTATAAACACTATAACTGTACATGGTTACTGTAAAGAACATGTCCTCATTGAATTAAAAAATCCAACTTAAAATGAAACTGAGATGAACCTTTGATTTTATGAAATCACAGTACATGAATTTAATATTGGAATACTGTACAGTCCATTGTAGAACAAAGACCAGACTACAAAAATACTATTTTATTTCTTGAACAAAAGTTAAGAACCTAATAAAGAACCTAGTTAGCCTAATTTAACACTAAATACCATTTATATAAGAACCTGTTTAGGCTAACTTGAAGAAACCTAGGTTCTTATACGCGGGTTTTTACTGTACCCCAATTTAAACAAACGACATTTGGAATATATTTAATTAAGAATCATTAGGGATTTTCGTATAACTTATCACCACCTAAAACGCTTTTTGCGTGCAAAATGGCTAAGCGAGCAAACGGAGTCATTTTATGATAAATATTTTTTTGGTAAAAAAGGGGGAAAGTAAAAGGCAAAAAAAAAAAAAAGATTTTCTACGGATTTTCTCTTAAATGCGGTTTGCTTAGGCTAAGCCCATAGCTTCATTGTACCCATCAAGTTCGTAAAAGAACAAGAAACCTAACAAACTAGATGATAGTAGACAGGCTTCTTAGAAAAAAAGTAATGAAATAACATGTGTAACAGTGAAAGGAAGACTGCTATCACTCCAACAAAGAACTAACGTTCCAAACTTCAGAACAGCTGCTAAGTTTTTTTTACACGTTATTCAAGTTTCCTTCTCGAATTCAATACACCAACGCCGTCCCAACTAGTAACCGCAAGTCATCAGTACTGTTGCTGTTGTTAAAGTTCATTGCATGGCATCATAGTTAGTATCATCACTGATGCATATCTATGATGGCGTGCACATAGAGTAGTTTTCATATGACTGTGAAAAAGTCGGTGCCGTATGCGTGCCTTGCCTTGCCGCGATCGTGATGTTTTCTAGACTTTTGATTGGGGGATTTTTTTGCGCAATGTGATTGGTCGGACATACCGTGACATTGGCGCGACCGTGTCCACGCCGTGTTCTCAGACGTGCTTCGATCATTTGATTGGATGAAGAGTAAATTCTCGTACAATGTGATTGGTCTGGCGTATGCCTTGCCGTGTCATGACCGTGTTCGTGCCGTGAGTTTCCCACAGTCATGCAAAAACTGCTCTAGAGTAAAAAAAGAAGAAAAAAAAAGAAAAAACTGATGAAAACAAACAAAAAAAACATACCAAAAAACTACAAGTATTTGATTTCATACTAAAACGATCTTGAAGGAACCAAATTTTTTGCTCATTACAGGCCACGTGTCGCTCTCTTGATAATAAGAATCTTTGTTTTAGTTGTATCCATATTCATACGTCTTCTCATTTGCAACCGCTAAATAAAGAAATAATCCTTTAGGGAATAACAAGTGGTCTGAAATAGAGATTTCCGATTTAGCGGATTAGCGACAG